TCTTTGAAATGTCTCAGTTTCACAGTATCTGTCTCTGCTGAGTCTCAGTTTCACTGTATGTCTTTGAAATGTCTCAGTTTCTCAGTATCTGTCTCTGCTGAGTCTCAGTTTCACTGAATGTCTTTGAAATGTCTCAGTTTCTCAGTATCTGTCTCTGCTGAGTCTCAGTTTCTCAGTATCTGTCTTTAAAATGTCTCAGTTTCTCAGGATCTGTCTCTGCTGAGTCTCAGTTTCTCAGTATCTGTCTTTAAAATGTCTCAGTTTCTCAGTATCTGTCTCTGCTGAGTCTCAGTTTCACAGTATCTGTCTTTGAAATGTCTCAGTTTCACAGTATCTGTCTCTGCTGAGTCTCAGTTTCTCAGTATCTGTCTTTAAAATGTCTCAGTTTCTCAGTATGTCTTTAAAATGTCTCAGTTTCACTGTATGTCTTTGAAATGTCTCAGTTTCTCAGTATCTGTCTCTGCTGAGTCTCAGTTTCACTGTATGTCTTTGAAATGTCTCAGTTTCTCAGTATCTGTCTCTGCTGAGTCTCAGTTTCCCAGTGTCTTTCAGCTGACTCCTTACTTTCTTCTCACTCACTGTATCACCTGATGATGTCATAAGTATGACCTTAGGTGACCTCTGCAGCGCTGACTCAGCATGTTGTCAGATAAACATCATTTCTAACCAAACTTCACACACAAACATATTCCTGATCATGACAACAAACTTTAAACCCTCAAACGCTGATCAGCTGATCTGATGTCAGTTTGAGTTTATGACCTTCATCAGTGACAAACACAGACTGATGAATAAATGAATAAATGTTTGTTTTACATGGTTCAATAAAGACCTCAGAGTCTGGATGGAGGGGGGGTGTGAAGACTTAATGATAGTGGTCTCAAACTCAGACCTGGACCAGATCACCCAGACTGAGCTCAGATCAGTTTCATCTGTGGATTTACTCTGACTGTGTGTTTGTACTTTAGTGTTCAGGTGTTTAAACCTCAAACAGACTTTAATGAAATAAAGATTAAAACTCAGAAAAGGACTAAAACACACTCTACTGATATTATTGAACAACTGACACCAGGGAGGAGGAGGAGGAGGAGGAGGAGGAGGAGGAGGAGGAGGAGTCAGGTGTGTGTGTCAGTGTGTCTGAAAAGCACAGGGACAGATTCTTGAGGACTACAGTCTGACCCCTGATCTCCACCTTCATCCTGATCGTCTCCTAAAAGGTCGTATCCTCCGATCGTAGCTGATCGTAACCATTCAAGTTAACGTGTCGATTTACACCGACTTCTTTCCGTCGGACGCCGGAGCATGGCGGATAAATTCAGCACAGATTAACCCATGCTGGAAAGGAAGTCGGGCACAGACTTCAAAATAAAACATCCGGCTTCTTTTCAAAATAAAACACAACCTTTTGCTTGTTCGGGCGGAGACGAACAAGTGAAAGGTTTTTAGACGTCATTTCACCCCGATGACACCATGGATGAGGAGATGCTGATTCTAGAAGTCTAGAAGTAGATTTCCTCCTCTGGAAGGACACAATCTACTGCTTATATGTCTATGTGTCTGTCTTTAGAGAGACAACTCGTTATCGGGCGATTGAACGTGAATCTGCGGGTTCTTGTCTTACAAACGGATCCAGTAGGAATTGGCGGACGGTAAAAATCGAATGTGAAAATTGAGGCCGCAGAGATGGTCATGACGTGTTCAGAGTCCTAATAGAGTGGAAGTCTTTGTTTGTACAGAAGCTTGTGAAGACTGAGTGATCAGTGCTAAAATGAAATGATCATCCTGAACCTTCAGAGTTTCTTCTTTTATCGTATGTTAAAGATCTTTGAAGAAGTTTGGAAATAAATCCTCAGACCTTCAGAGAACATCCTCACTCGCTCCGTCTCTTTAATCTGCTGATCTCAGGTCAGACTGAAATGATTCACCTCAGCTGCTTTAAACCCGCTCCGATTTCTGAGGACGTTTGAGGACAAATCCGCCGAACTTCACCGAGTCACACGGACCAACACTTGGAAACCGAAGAGCCGTCTGTACGTGCGAGAAACTTCAGACTGCTCCTTTAAAGCTTCACAGATAGTTTGTTGGAGCGACGCTCTGCTCCTCGGACCCGCTCCTCTGTCAGGGCCGGCTTCATCTGAGCACAGGGGGGAGGCTGCAGCTCCTCACCCTCCTCCTCCTCCTCCTTCTCAGAGAGCCAAGACTTCAAAGTTCCCCTGGTGTGTGTGTGTGTGTGTGTGTGTGTGTGTGTGTGTGTGTGTGTGTGTGTGTGTGTGTGTGTGTGTATGAAATGTGGGTCAGACATTAAAATGCATGAGCGGGGAGCAGAAAGCATGATGAAGTGCTGAGACACGAGGAGCAGAGAATATAAAAATAACTGGAGGAGCGGCTCTCCCCGCTGACGCCGCGCCGCCGCGCCATTGGTCCGATCTACCGCGAATAAAAAAAAGAGAACGAGGAGGAGGCCGTTTCCTGGAGACGTGCGGCTGCCATCACCGTGACGGCGACCACATCCGACCGCGGCGGCGTGTTGATCTCCAGGAAAAATGACAATAAAGATTCTTTGGTTCTGACATCAGAGCGTTTAAGAGCTGATAATCAGGTTTCAACGCGCCGACTCAGGCAGCCAATCAGAGACGAGCTGCAGAGCTTTAATGGGAGGTTTCCACCCTCCGTTTTTTCAGTTCGAACAAAGAGTGTGAGAGGAGACGGCGACGTTAAACCTGAGAGTCTGAGAGGAGGACGCTGAAGGAGAAAAACACGTTTTTATTTCCTCATGAATGAATTTTTCTGACTCGAGGTTTGAGTCTGTGTCAAAAAAACTGAAGTTTTTAACATTTGATCAGACCGATCGATCGATCAATTGATCGGTCTGTTTTTAAGATTCAGTTTAACGACATTTGAAAAGCGTCGGGAAAGTTGAAAGTTCAGTTCATCGTTCAGAATTTCACATTTTGAACTAAAGTTCCTGGTTCCCAAAAATAAGTTTAGTCCAAGTTCAGACTGCAGGTCAGTTCTGATTGGTTCTGATCCGACCCTCTTCTGTATGTGGATATAAATCAGATTAGTGCTGGACGATAATTCGATAACAATATATATCGATCGATAGACGTGTGGTGCGATAGAAAAAAAACGGGTCGATAAAAAGTTCGATAGAAAAACAGTTTCCCTTTCTTTTTCATCATAGCCTATCATGTAGCTTTTACTACAGTCATTACTTCCTCCCAACCAATCACAAACGCAGACCCAGGTACGCTACGGCACCAAGCCCAGCCCCTATCAAACCACAACAGACAGCACGTGTATTAGAAAAAATGATACAGCAAGGAGAAGCGGAGGAAATTGTCCCGAAAAAAGGTTTCAGTAGTTCACCAGCATGGCAATGTTTTGGTTTTTAGAAGTCTGACAAAAAGCGAACAGCGGTCGTTTGCAAAATTTGCAGAGAATTAGTAAAAACCAAGTCTGGTAACACAACCAACTTGTTTTACCATCTAAACCGATCGCAGCCGCAGGAGTACGAGCTGTGTCAGCCGCACCGCGGCTCCACGTCATCGTCGGAGGAGGAATCCTCTGGAACCGCTGCCAGCACCAGCACAAAGCATGTGAAGCAGACCAAACTGGACTTCGTTTCTTGCCAAAATACGACAAAGCGTCCGAGCGGCATAAGGACATCACCCATGCAGTAACATGCTCCATAGCGAGGGACATACTGCCAATAACTACCGTTGAAAAGCCTGGCTTCGACCAGCTTCTAGCCACTCTCCACCCGCGATATGAAGTGCCCGGCCGCAAGTATTTCTCAAACACAGCGCTTCAGGCATGAAAATGGGTCAGGGGTTGAAAAGGTGAGAAGGGTGCAGACGAAATACGTTCCGGTGTTGTGCCGTAGAATGCATCCCTGCATCCCGTCCACTCATTAGCTTCTTAAAGTGGAAGAAAATGAGCTCATATTTTACAGAGACCCGAGTATTTGGATCATGGCTACTAGCAGGGGGTGCATTCGGCAGGGGTGCATTCTACGACACAACACCGGCGTGGATAAGTCCTGCTTCTCGTGCTTAGTTTGTGTATTAAGTCAATCACATGATAATTAAAAAAAATAAATCTCCCGACCCCGGGAGAAATATTTCAGTGTTCAGACACCAGGCTGTGGGCAGTTTCTCACACAGTTAAAACTGGTAGTATGCTATTCCCACCTAAAGCTATTCTGTTTATTTATATATTTGTTTGTTTTCATCAAAAGACTATTTAAATATTTATTTATCAGATTTTCTGGTCACTTTAGTCTTTATGTTTGTCAGTATTTACTGACGTCACTCAGGCCACCTTAGTTGATTTCTTTTTTTTTTTAGTTCTTTTTAAAAAAACTTTAAGTTGTGGTAAAATAAAAAAGGTGGTTGAATAAAGGTTTGAATTTGAATTCAGTGCTTGTGTGTTCTTTATTAAAAGTAGGTCATTAAGCAATAGCATAAAACATCCAGGGCTGCAATTAAAATATATGTTAAATAATTATAATAATTATATCGATAATTATCGATATCGATCAATATGATTTATTTTTTATCAATATGCTTTTTTTCTGTATCGTCCAGGCCTAAATCAGATATGTATCTGATGTGACTGCAGTGTGACGCTCAGGTCGAGTTCATCCGACCTTTACGTCATCAATATGAGACAAGCGTCACCATCGTTCAACGACACAAACAGGAACGGAGAGAAGTTTGTGTTCATGAGGGTCACTTCACGGACACATTCGTCGTTGTAACGTGAACGACCACACAGAAAGATCGGATTTAACGAAAAAGCCGATTTGAGCCTCAGAACCTGCAGAGTGAACTTCCTGTCGGTGCGTCAAAGTGAAGAGTGAATGATCCGGGTCAGACCTGCAGCGATCAGAGTCGAGTTCTTCTGCAGAGACGTCGGAGGAAAAAGAGTTTCAGAGTTTAAAGAAAATGAGTTTCATTTAAAATCAGGTTTAAAAAGAAACTTTAATCAGAAATCAGTCACTGAATAAAACCGTTCAGGTCCATCAGGTCCATCAGGTCCATCAGGTCCAGGTTCTGATGTCTGTGGTTCTTCAGGACGGGGCAAAGGTTCGGGGCGGGGGGGCTGACCTTGGAGTTAAGAGGCAGAACAAAATGGCGGCGGCAGCAGAGCGTTTCTGTTTCTGACTCTGAACAAAAAGAGTCCGCCATTTTCTCCTCCGGCAGCGGAAAGACGAGGAGACGAGGAGGCGAGGAGAGAGGAGAGGAGAAGAGGACAGGAGCTAACGAGTTAATCCTGTTTGATCGATCAGACGTGACGAGTCGAATCAGCTGATTAAGACGAGATGAAGAGGTGAGGATGAGGAGGAGAGGCGGTCAGAGAAACCCGGTGAGCTACACCTGACCTTTGACCCTCCATGACCCTGACCTCAGTCTGAACATGACCTCAAACATGACCTCAGCTCCTAACCAAAGATCCTCATCAAGGCAGAGCAAAAACCAATTCAGCACAGATTAACCCGTGCTGGAAAGGAAGTCGGGCACAGACTTCAAAATAAAATATCCGGCTTCTTTTCAAAATAAAACACAACCTTTTGCTTGTTCGGGCGGAGACGAACAAGTGAAAGGTTTTTAGACGTCATTTCACCCCGATGACACCATGGATGAGGAGACACACAGACACAGTGTGGGAACTTTCAGCTTCATTCACAAAAAACCTGAAATATTCGAGTGTTTGAGATTCGGTTTCAGATTCTTCTGTGACTATAAATCTCACACGGAGTCTTTACTCCCAGAAAACCAGTGAAAAAAAACAACCAGTGAAGAAAAAAACCAGTGAAACCAGTGAGAGAGCAGCAGCAGCAGCAGCAGCTCGTCTGAGAGAGAAAATCTGAATCAGCTTTTTGATTCACTTACAGGAGGATGAACTCATGTTTCCTCTTTCTGACTCAAACCCAGACTTTGATTGAATCCATCAGGACGCCCTCTCTCTCTCTCTCTCTCTCTCCCTCTTTCTCTCTCTCTCTCTGAGGAAACTTTAATGACGTTAACATTTTTGGGGTTTCTACGTGTTTGGCTCGCCGTCGTCTCCTCGTTTCCTGATTTCATTTAAACTGAGTCAGAGCGGAAAAATGTCGGAGAACAAAAACTGCAGTAAAAGTACACAAAGAGCCTCAGAGTACGCACAAAAGTACTACAACCTGAGCGCATATAAACACAGGGAACTACGGCGACACGACAGGGACAAACAACAACACCTACGAGAGGAAATCAGTGACTTTAAACCGAGAGGAGAAAGTGATTTTTAGTGATTTTAGTGATTTTTGTGATTTTAGTGATTTTTTAGTGATTTTTAAGTGATTTTAGTGATTTTAGTGATTTTTAGTGATTTTAGCGATTTTAGTGATTTTTAGTGATTTTAGCGATTTTTGTGATTTTTAGTGATTTTTAGTGATTTTAGTGATTTTTAGTGATTTTAGCGATTATTGTGATTTTAGTGATTTTTAGTGATTTTAGTGATTTTTAGTGATTTTAGTGATTTTTAGTGATTTTTAGTGATTTAATTAAAGGACTAATCCGCCTAAAACAGATTTTAACGAGACGACTCAGTTTATCAAAGTGCTGCTAATTTCAAATCAGGTAGAGGGGGCGGTGGCCAATCAGAGGACAGTAGGCTGTTGGAGGGGGCGGGGCCTTAAAGAGACGGCAGCTAAAATGAAGCGTTTCAGATGGAGGCTGATTAAAGATATTTTTATTTTTGTTCTGACCCCTGTATAATAAAAATAAACTTTATTGACGAGTCGGTGTGAAACATACAGAGTCAATAAAGTAAATTCAACATGTTAACGATGTTTGTTTTTCTGTTTTACGTCCCTTTAATGAAAATAAAACTGTGTTTTTTTCCATCACTTTTCTTTTTTTTGTTGATTGTCATTAAAATTAAATCAGATTAACGTGTTTATTATAGTTTTTTTTTAGTGTTGATGATTTTTACAGCATGTTCGTTAACGTCGAAACGAACGTTTGGTTTTTGGTTTGGTTTTTTTGGTTTTTACCTTAAAGCTCCTGTAAGTAACTCCTTGTTTGTTGAAATTTGGCGCCCCCTGTGGACAAAGCGGTCTTAGCTTATCTGGTCCTGATTTTACACTTTAGATAATTTAACGAGTTATTAATTCTGAATCATAAAAACAGCCACCCCCCCCACACACACACACTCACTGATTTGATATTTTTTTAATCCTAAAAATATCATAAAAAATCATAAATATAAATTTTACTTTTTTTATAAACATTGAAAAACTCCCTACAGGAGCTTTAATATCAAAAAGGGAAAATAATAAAAATTTGTGAGTTTTTGAGAAAAATGGAGGCAGAAACTTTGGCCTGTAAATGTTCTTGATTTATTTGTAAGGGATTGAATTTTTCTTTTCCCTTTTATTCCGTTTTATTCCGTTCATCTTCTTCATTACGTTCGTTTGTATGACGTCTTTCTGATCGTCTAAAACCTGCTGCAGCTGTAAAAGTTTTTCAGGGTTGGATCAAAGTTACAAACTATTAAAAATAAATTAAAATAAAACAGAAAATTCATATGAAATTAAATGTTTGTTGTGATTCTCTAAATGGAGATTTTATACTCATCCCGTTTTTCTGCACACGTATTTTCACTTATCTAAACTCGACTTTAAAAGTACGAGCACAGCGGAGAGAGAGAGAGAGAGAGAGAGAGAGACAGTAGATTCAGGATTTCTGAACTGAGGTTCATGTTGCAGCAGAATTATTCCACATGTGTGTTTATCATGTCTGATGATGATGTTTGCAGGATGAAGGTCAGACCAGGACGCTGCAGCAAACGGAGCGTTCAGGAAACTCAAACGGCTCCGAGTGTTTCAGCGTCTTTGTGTCGAATCTAAAATCTGAGAGAGTGTAACCAGCTGATCCTGACGAAGAGAAATCTGAAGTTATCCCGTTTTTATTTATTTTGACGATTTTTAATCGAGCAGAAAGTGAAAAAACAGAAATGACGCAAACGTTCAGGCGCAGATTTAACAGACGATAAATGAGAACAATTCAATATTTATTTCAGGGGAGAAACCGTCACAGATCCACAGATCTGCACACGAACTGGAGGAACGTTTTCCTGCACAGAGAGCTCAGACTGAGAACTGCTGCGACCTTGAGGTGAAGGTCATCGTACAGAAACTGAAAAAACAAACTGAATTTAACTCTTTGTTTTCTTTGAGCTGCTGAATCCAGTTTTAAAATGTAGAAAAGAGCGAAAATCTGGTGGATAAACGTCTACGGTGTCAGTGAGTCTGATTCAGACAGAAAATCCTGTTTCTGTTTAACGTTAAAGAAAACGTCAGACGACGACGACGACGACGATAATCGTCCGTCTGATCGGGAAAATCAGAAAAAAATCTAAAATCTGCTGAAGGAACTAAAACCAGAGTTCAGGGACAGGAACCAGAGTCCTGCTGAGAGTCTGGACCCAAGGTTCGGTTTGTCGAGGTGCAGAGAGACACACACACACAGAAATCCCACACCACAGAGTCCACCAGAACCACCAAGACCCAAACCGTCAAACTTGATCCAGAACTTTCTTTTCTCGTCATCTCCTCTAAAGAGGAGGAGGAGGAGGAGAGACCCTCTGAAGATCAATTCACTAAAATGAAGTCAAATCAGATTCTGTTTGTTTCTGTTTAAACCGAGAATCGGACCAGAACTGCGTCTGTCCTGATCAGAGGGGAACAAAACCAGAACAGAGCGACCCGAAGACGGTTCTGAACCTCAAACTTAAAACCAGAAAAACTCTCGGAGGTTCCTGCAGGAACACACGGACCCGATCACCTCTGGACCGAGCGGGCCGACCCCAGACCGAGGAAAAGTCCTCAGAACCTGATGACCCAGTGAGCGTGGACTAGAGGACTTGTGGTTCTGTGCCCATGAGTCCTGAACACTGAAGTCATGGGTGGGACTCCTGAGCGGACAGGTCCTGGTCCTGGTTCTGGTCCATATCCTCCTTGTTTGTCCTCAGGCTCCACCTGAAGGCCTCCAACGTACCCGCCTTAAACCCGATCTGACAGACTCTTGTGAAGGGTCAAAGGTCAAAGTCAGACTTAGGAACTTCAGCAGAACCGGGTCAGAGCAGCCCGCCAGCCTCTTCATGGACTTTAACTCTGATCCAGAACCAGTTTAGACCGGTTTATCTGTACACGTCTACTAAGAGCTTCTAAACTTCTCAGCCTGTAACCCGGAAATATCGGAACCAGAGACCCGCGAGTCACTGAAGGTGGTTAAAGAGGCGAAACATCGGAAACAGGAAAGAAGAGTTTTACGCTCTTAAAGGGATATTCTGCAAAAATTCATTTAGGGTCAAACCCACCGTAACACCGAGTTAGACCCCCCCTCCAGAGATGAATGTTGTCGACCGCTTGCTTCTCTAGTTATACCAACTTTAGTAACGACCGCAGGATAGAAATACAGAGAGCCACGCCCCCAACCAAAACGCCACTCTATAGAGACTAAACACAACTCACCTACTCTCTTCCAGCAGACGCTTGTTTGTAGAGAGACCTCAGGCCAGTCCATTACGGACTACAGCGGGGTGCCGCAGCTTAAGGAAGAACATTTAAAGGTTAACACTGGTGTTAAGGGTGCTCTTTAAACAAATGTCCAAAACAGGAAAACTCATGTTCAAGAAAGGTATTTACTAAATCAAATCATATCACCATTTTCCACCACGCCACGGTCAAAGAAAAATGTGCTCTTCCCCGATCAGCGACACCTGTCCCTGGTTTCCTCCCTACATAGAACTGTGACGTTACTAAAATCAATAATTAAACACCTCAAACAAGTAAACATAAAAAATAATTAATCTGGCTGCTACAATTATCATTTCTTCATCATTTCCTTCAAGTAATAATCACCATATTGATCATTTTACAGACGCGGTAGTTCTTCTGTCTTAGCGTCTCGGTCTGATTGTATTTCCATGAAGAAATGATCATAAATGTTCTTCCTTGAGCTGCAGCACCCCGCTGTAGTCCGTAATGGACTGGTCTGAGGTCTCTCTACAAACAAGCGGCTGCTGGAAGAGAGTAGGTGAGTTGTGTTTAGTCTCTTTGCTAAAGAAATGAGTCAAAGTTAAAAAGATGTTTGGTGTCTAGTACTATGTCTGTGACCCTATATGTACTAACCTCAGTAGAACATGGTGTAGTTCTGTTTAGTAACAGAACCTCATTGGAAAATTAGCTGATTTAAGTTTACTGTGCTCTTGTTCAAATATATTAACTCGACAGCACATATATTCATACCTGTTAACAAAATCATGATTTTATTGATAATTCAGCTCAATAAAAACACCTTTACCTTTTCATTTTACTACAGTAGAAGTTTCTTGGCCCAGCTTATAGACCACAGAAGTGGAGAAACGCCCCCGCTTAAGTTAATGTTTTCTTAGGAGTTAGAACAACTTTAAATATAGTACTATGGCTGTGACCCTATATGTCCTGTTGATGAAGTTAGGTGCTGTTCTGAGCATTATTTGTGGCTATAGAGTGGCGTTTTGGTTGGGGGCGTGTCTCTCTGTATTTCTATCCTGCGGTCGTTACTAAAGTTGGTATAACTAGAGAAGCAAGCGGTCGACAACATTCATCTCTGGAGGGGGGGTCTAACTCGGTGTTACGGTGGGTTTGACCCTGAATTAATTTTACGCCTGAATATCCCTTTAAAGTCTCAGATGGTTGACCCACAGGAAGTCTGACCCACCTGGTCACATGAGTCTGCAGCTCCTCTCGCCAAAATCCCCTCTGAGCTCAAACTAAAGCAGAAAACACCATCAAACCTGATCTGGATGTTTCTCTAAAATTAAGATTTAAATTAATTTCACTTTTAAAACATCTAAAACAGGAAGTCAGAGTTCCTGCAGGGGTCTGAAAACCTCTCACTGAAGACTCGTCCTCTTTCGTTTGTTCTGTTTTTTTGACTTTGGGAGTTTCTAAGTTTCAGACTGACCTGATTTCACCTGTTTTTTACTCACATGTTCGTCATTTGCTCGTGTTTCGTCTCCGTCATGTTTTAAAGTCCATTAATTAAAACGATCCGCTTCATTCAGACTCACTCAGCTGGTGGTAAAAACTCAATGAGGTCAAACCAGGACAGACAAAAACTGGAGCAGCAGATTTAAAACACGCTCTGAACGTCACACACATTATCAAGGTGAAGGTGAAAAAACTGCAGCTGGTTCATCTATGAAGTACAAGTACTACAAAAACACACAGAAGTACTGCGAGGTTCTGTTTGCAGATTCATGGAGCAGAAACGATAAAGATGGACGAGAAATACAGACGTTTGCAGATCCGAACATTTGTGCAGGTGAGATTATCGTCCACAAAAACGACGCTTTTGATACGTGCACGCCATGACAGTCTGCACGCCGAAATTTTGGAAGTAGAGAAATATTCTGCAGAGTCGTGAACAGACAGCAGACACACTCATGAATGTCTGTGTTTTTAAAAATAATCTGTTTTTTAGTTCTGGTTGTTTTTGACGATGTTTGTTTCTGAACCAAATCAAGTTTTAAAATAAAAGTGAAATTATCAGGAGAGAAACTTTCTGTGGAAATATCTGAAAAATATCAGAATCTCTGATATCAGCAAAAATCCAACACTAAACATCGTCAATAAACAGGCGGTACATGATCAATATGATCACATGATCATTCAATAACGACCTGATCAGTAATTTTGATCAGATTAAATCAGAGCAGGAGCTGCAGTCTTAAATTGTCACTTTTTTTGAATGAACTGTGGTTTATAGCAGAAAACACGGACTGTAATCGGCTGATTAAAACATGAAAATAAATGAATAAAAAAACATTTATAAAAATAAAAAATAACATGAACTTGAAAAAATATTGTGACAAAAAAAAGTTTAAAAAATAACACAAAAAGTTTCACAGGAGAAAATGTGGGAAAATAACGAGAATAGAAAACAGGAATTTATATCCTGATAATTAACACGTCAGAGAATCATGTTAAATTAAAAAAACGTGAATAAATTAGATTAAAAAAATTTTACTTGAAAAAAAACTAAAAAACTAACGACAAAAAAAAATAACCCACATGACAAAATCATTTTTTTACTGATAAACACGAAGAATTAACGTAAAAGTTTCAGGTAAAATAGAAAATAACAAGAATAATGAAAAAAAAAATAAAAAGGATTAAATAAATGTGAAAAAATTTAATTTAAAAAATAACGTGAAGAAAAATAAGACGTTAAAAAAATAACATTAAGTTAGAGGCGAGAAAACGAGCAAAAAAAAACAGTTTTTTCTTTTGTCTCGTGTAAAAAATAATAAAAACAATAATAATAATAATAATAATAACAATAACAATAATGATAAATCACATGTGAAGCTGCTCCTGATCTCTCGGCTTCGTCACACAAACATCCTCGCCACGCCAAGATATCAGGTTACACATGTGAGACACACACACACATACACACACACACACACACACACGTACCAGCGCTGACCTGAAATACTGCAGTAAGACTACAGAGGGAATACTTCAATACTGTAAGGTACAGAGTACTCTAACTTCAGGAATACTGCAGTACAGGGATGGTGACAGGAATATTAAAGTTACAGTGCAGTATAAATACTCTATTAGGGTACAACTACACAGAAATACTACAGGTTACTCTCATTATAGTGAAGTATATTCACAGAATTACTGTAGTACAAGAATACAGCTGTGCAGACATATACACTGCAAGTATACTGAAGTACTGCAAGTATGTATCCAGCGCAGTATTCCAGTAGGAAGTATTCCAGTAGGAATACTGCGTGGATGAGGTAAAAGTACATTTTCTGCTCTGACTGAATTTCCTTCAAACGTTTTTGTTAAAGTGAGAAAATCTCAGTCAGACACGCTCAGACCCCCCCTCTAACACAGGAAATGGTTCAGTCCGGCCCTCAAACCCGGAGCCGGCCCGTCTACCTGAGAGTCCGAGAGGAGGGAAAAGAGAGCGAGTGACTGACGGAGAGAAAGAGGAGAAGAAGAAGAAGAGGGGTCGAGTCTAAAGACGGAGTCAGGGTTCGAGACAAACCTGAGCTCAGAGTCTGTTAGAAATAAACTCTTTATACTTCTGCAACACGAGGATTTATCGCCTGTTATCGTCGATTTCATATTTACACTCTTTAAATCACAGCGTCCCTCTGAAAACTCCTCTGACTCCACACTCACAGTGTCAAATATCAGAAAAACAGCGAAGGTTTGACTTTTTCCTTTTTTTAAATGAAACAAAAAAAATCAGTTTAACCTTTCAAAATAAAAGTGCATTAAATCCAAACACTAAATCAAACCAGCGAGCAGGAGAGAAGCCAAACTCAAACCGTGAACCTCCTCTGATAAACCGATCAGATTTAATCCACTCTTTCTGTTATTGGAGCAGATATTTAATCAATAAAGACTTTAAAATTTTACATTTACTGATGTTTTAAAAAAAATCTGCAGACCCCGCTGCCCCTCCGAGTGCTCTCAGGGTTTTCACAGTGATCCCGTCAGGAGTCCGAAAACAGCAGAAACTCATTTATTCAAGAATCACAGATTTTTAATGATTTAATTTTAGAGATTTTATTTAAATTAATGTAAACGAGAGCTGTTTTTCCTCGTTCTTAAAGGACCCCTGAGACCCTCAGTTCAGGACTACAGAAGGTCAATTCTTCTCAGTCAGACAGTAAAACACTTTATTTATATTTATGTGGATTTTTACTTGAATTTACAGAATCTCTAATGAAACGAGTTAGGAGGATCGGACCCTCAACAGAGTCCTGGTTTGAGGGTCTGCAGGTTCAGGTGGTTCAGTTGTGGGGCCCAGAGTGGGAGTTTTCCACGGCGCCCAGAACCTCACTGAACACGGTTACAGAGCTACGGCGCCGAACGAACGAAGAGAGACAGACAGACGCCGAGGAACGCTGCAGTGATCAGGTGGAACATGAGGGAGAGGCAGGAGTACGCAAATACTACTACAGTACTACTACAGTATTATCACAGTACTACTACGGTACTATCACAGTACTACAGAGCTGCAGTCGCTCTGCAGAGCAGGACAACCGTACACTCACATCTGGAGGACCACACACACACACACACACACACACACACACACACAGACACACACACACACACACAGACACACACACACACGCACTCTTTTCCAGTTAAAAACATAAACCTGTGAAATGAGCTCGAGCTCTCATTGGACGATTCAGACAGCAGCCAACCAATCAGAGCGCAGAACAAAGAAAAGTCACAGAAGAATCGGTGACATGTGAGTGACAGCAGAGGTCAGAGGTCACAGCAGGAGGCGGGCTGTAGGGGAGAGCAGGGTCAGGTGGAACGGTTTTATTGTGAAATGTCCGTTTGATGAAAATCTGTTTTAATTCAACTTTAGATTCAATCAATTCATATCTCAGTGAGTCAATTATTTTCAGTCACAGCTGATCAGCTGATCAATAATCAATCACTACAGTTAATGATTATTGACAGTTTGTTTCTGCTCTTATCCAAAATAAATCTCATTCATGTTTTTATAGTTTTTATTAAATAAAGTCAAAAATAATTCAGTTTGACGACAAAATAAAGAAAAAAGTTTGAATTTAAAAAAGTTTTTAAAATTATTTTTTAAATATTTTATTTGTGTCATGAAGCTACAGTTGATATGTGCGTGTGTATGTGTGTGTGTGTATTTGTACGTGTGCGTGTGTGTGTTGCAGGGCCTCGGCCTTCACACACTCACAGGAATAATTCACTTTTTCTCCTGTACGCTCCTTTAATCCAGACTAAACCCACCTGTTCAGATTAACACACTCCTTATAATCTACTGTATCATGTTTTTGTTTCTTTTATTTATACACAAATACATATATTTATACTTTTTTGGTTTGTCTGTTTTTACTCAGTAAAGTGTCCTTGAGTGTCCGGAAAGGCGCTTATAAATAAAAAAAATTATTATTAAACCAAAATCAAACCTGCTGACGGTAGAGGAGGCGGACTGGAGTCGACTCTGAAGACCTGAGCAGGTAAAAGAAATAATCCTGTTTTTTCAGTTTAATCCTCAAACATTAAAAACATGTGAAACTCTTTTATTTCAGATTATTAATCTGGGTCTCTGGGTTTGTTGACATGTGGGTCACCTTACCTTCACATTTTTCACCTTTAAATTCAACTTTTAATCTTTTTTTTTAAACTCAAACTTTTCCTCCTTCAGTTCGACTCAAACTTCTTTATTCAGATTTTTTTGTATTTTAATCTGCAGAAACTTTATGATTTTTTAAAACTGCGGGTTTGTCTCAGAGAGGAAATGTGGGTCAGAAATTAAAGTTTTAAACCGTCTGAGACTCTCTGTTTGTTCCACCTGAACCCGCTCTCCCCTACTCTGGGGTCCGGGTCTTACCTGGGGTTGGTGCTGTTCCAGTAGACCGCGTACCGGTCCGAGATGAGCCGGTCGTCCGGGGTGAGGGAGGAGCAGACCCGGAGCAGGAGACCGAGCAGCAGCAGCAGCAGCAGCCGCCCGTAGCGCTCCATGTGCGGCTGCGCGGCGTGAGACGACCCGCCGAACATCCGCGAGTCTTTAATTGGGATCAGAGCGCTGGACAAGACCAGAACCAGAACTAGAACTGGAAACAGCACCGGTATCGAGGGTCATGTAAGAGACAGAGGCTCCGGGGGCACAAGAGAGCCTCGCGCTGTTTGCAGAGTCGATCACTTCTGATCCGATCACCGATAATCACCGATCATCAAATTTGGGTTTCCCAGCAAACACCGCGAAAACAATCCATCTTACTCCAGAACCGGGTCGTCGTGTGTCCACGGTCCGTCCTCTGAATCCGGTTCGGTCGTCCTTATCCGAGCCCAGAAAGACCTGAAGTCCCAAAGTTTCATTTTTCACTCAGTCTGAACCGGATCGGAACCACAGCAGGAGTCAGGCGTCCACGTGCGTCCTGAATCAGTGCCGTCCAGAGTCCACCAGGGTCCGGATCCGCCTGCTAAGACTCCCGGGGTCCTCACTTCAGGTTCAGGTCCTCTGTGCGCCTTTTAACGGAACTCCTCCAGACTTTTAGAGACCCAAAGACCCGGACCAGGACCTGTGGAAGATCCAAGCAAACACCCCGATGGTCTCCGGACTGGACCTGGACCGCCTCGCTGTTCCGAGACTCCAGACGGTCTGCAGGAACGGGTCTGGGGGTCTCTGCTCCCGCTCTCCCCGGTACCCCCTCCTCCGCTCCGGACTCAAAGTTTCAGCAGGTGCCGGTCTCCCCTCTTCCTGCTGCAGACCGAAGTGAAGCGAACCGAGCCGAACCGGACCAGAGAGACCCTCAGACTCGGAGACCAGGAGGACCAGATCCAGAACAAAGAGGGTCCGAAAGTTTGAGGAGGATCAGCAGGAGGAGCGTTTGTCTCTGTTACCGGCTCAGTCTGGAGTGACTGCTGCTGCTGCTCCCGGGGGGCGGGGCCTCTCACACCCTGTAAACTCATAACCCCGCCCCCTCTCTCTCTCTCTCTCTCTCTCTCTCTCTCTCTCTCTCTCTCTCTCTCTCTCTCTCTCTTTCTGTTCTAAATAAAAGTTTTTAAAAATGCTTTTAAATAAAAGATGATGAAAATAAAAAAATAAGAACTGGACCTGAAAGAAAAATAAAAATATAAATATAAATATAAACACTCATGATTCAAATGTGCAAAATACCTGTGAGATAAAAAAAAAGTATTTTCCTCAGATTTAAATTTTTTTTAAATCAGTTTTAGTGTGGTTATTTCTTCTCATGTCAAATCTCAGTTTTAAATGTCGACTAAATAAATTCAAAAGTTAAATTCAACCTCAGAGAAAAATATCGAACCTAAAATCTGAAGAAAATGTTTAATTTGAATCTGAATGTAAAGAGTTTCCTTACAAAAAAGTTTCCTTGTACTTCTCAATGTTCAACTTTTAATCTTTGTGTAAAATAATTTTAAATAAAATTTTTAACCTAAATGTGAAAAGTTTACTTCGGTTAGAAATGTTAAAGCAAACTGTAGAATTTTAAGCCTCAGTGTTAAAAAATTATGTTCAATAATTTAACATTTTACATATGAATATAATTCAAGTGTAAAATGTAAATGTTAAAATTTTATCAAACGGATCTTAAATTTTAAAAATGAATTTAAAATATATAATTGAAATTAAAAATTTCTAATGTATATTAAAGTAGCTCAGGAGGTAAAGCGGATTGGCCAATAACTGAAAGGTTGGTGGTTCAAGCCCCGTCCTGTCTCTAGTCTGTCCGTTGTGTCCTTGGGCAAGACACTTAACCCACCTTGCTCCCAGTGTGTGTCCTCCACTGGTGTGTGATGCATTATTATTTATTATTATATCTCAGTGTAAAAGAATTTAATTTTCATGTCAAATATTAAAAACAAATCTCAAACTTTGAATCCTAATTTCAAATGCTAAATTCAGGGGTAAAATAATAAATTACAATCTAATTTTTTTTAATCTAATCAAAAAATTTTAAACCTCAGTGTAAAATGTAAATGTTAAAAACTAATGTTCAATGTATAATTTAAGTGTAAAATGTTAACATTTAATCACATAATTTAAAATGTTAAATCTGAATGTAGAATTTTAATATTACTGTAAAATAATGTGAAACTGTAAGATTGAATTTGACCATAAAATTTATTTTAAAAAGTTGAAAATGTAAAATTAAAATCAAAAATTTAAATGTATATTAAAGTTTACATCTCAGTGTAAAAGAACTAAATTTTTCTGTCAAATATTAAAAACAAATGTCAAACTTTTAATCTTGATTTCAAATCCTTAAATCAGGAGTAAAATGTTGAAAAACTATCTAAAATTTTTAATCAAATTGTAAAAGTTCAAAAGTAAAATCAAATTGTCCCAGGGACCCAGAAAAAAATGCTTCTGTGTTTTATGTCCCTCCTGGGCCTCCATACAGTTTGTTTGTTTGTCAGGATTATAAAGAGAATCTGCAGCGACGTTAACGATGACGAAGAGTTTGTCTGAGATTATAATCCGAGAGTTTGAGCGTTTACAGAACACAGGAGGTTACCTGATGTTTGTGTCTCCTCCTTCATCCAGTGATTCAGCACTCATCAATAATTCACAGAGTCAGCTCAGGGAGGAGGAGGAGAGAGAGAGAGGGAGGGAGAGACAGAGAGAGAGAGGGAGAGAGAGAGGGAGAGGAGGTCCAGATGAATCTTTCATTCCTGCTTTTAAAACAGACCCTCAGATTAATGGAGCTGCTGCTGAGATTAAACTTTCAGAGAGTCCATGAATAAATGCAGAGACCACCGGGCGTTCGACAACCACTGACCGTGTAGAGAGAGAGAGAGAGAGTTATAAAGGGAGAGAGAGAGAGAGAAAGAGAAAGAGAGTTATAGAGGTTACACAGAGAGGTCTGGAGTTTCATCAGTGCGATGTGAGGAAACATCTGGAGCAGGTAACATCAGCTTCTCTTTAGATTAACCTCTTAGAATAATGGACCAGGACCAGAACCTCAGACCTGAACCAGGACCTGAACAGGTTCCTTCATTTCCTCAGCAGATCAGATCTGTATGTTTCAGTTCTCAGTCAGAGCTCCTCCCTCTGGTCGGCTGTTCTTCAGCTGTTCTGTGGGGGTTCAGGAGGACGGGTCCGGACCTCTAAACTGGTTCTCCACAGAACCTTAAAAACTCAAAACCCCCAAAATTCTGCAGCCGAACACAAACGTTTCAGCACCGACCGAAACTGTCAGACTCTAGGTTAATTTGTCTGTGTTCAGCCTCTCCTGACAATCTTCAGAAGAAAACATCTACATCTATATATCTATGCATCTAAATCTATAAATCTATATCAATAAATCTACATCTATATATCTATACATATAAATCTATAAATCTATATCAATAAATCTACATATCTACATCTATACATCTATATCTATACATCTAAATCTACAAATCTATATCAATAAATCTACATATCTATATCTATATATCTATATCTATACATCTAAATCTACAAATCTATATCAATAAATCTACATATCTATATCTATATATCTACATCTATATATCTAAATCTACAAATCTATATCAATAAATCTACATATCTATATATCTATATCTATACCTATAAATCTAAATCTTTAATGCCATATCTATAAGTCTGGATCTATGTCAATAAATCTACAAATCTATATATCTATATCTATGTCAATAAATCTACATATCTATGCTAATAAATCTACATATTTATATGTCTATATCTATGTCAATAAATCTAAATATCTATGTCAATAAATCTACATATTTATATGTCTATATCTATGTGAATAAATCTACAAATTATTCTGTAACTAAAAATTTATATTTCTCTCTGTATATATCTAAATTTAAATCTATAAATCTATTTTTTAATCTATGTGAATAAATCTATGTCTATAAATCTACATCTAGATCTAGATCTTTATAAATCAATATCTATAAATCTTTAACAGTAAACCTAGATGTTTATCTAAATCTATTTTACAGTATATCCACACATCTATCTAAATCTATAAATCTCTCTCTCTCCTAATTATATATGTTTCTTTGTTTACATAGCTCAGATTCTCTACACTGATGTAAATATTAATCTTTATTTGTTGTTTTATTGATTTTTTATTCTGTTTCCCTTCCTCTTCTTCTTCTTCTATTTACTCTCTGAGGAGAACTTTATTTATATTAATATCCATTTGTACTCGTGAACATCTGAGTTTATGAAAATGTTTAAATAAAGTTGGTTTTCTTTTTTATTACTGACATAAAAATGAAAAAGCTCTGTTTGGGGTGAAAATTTAACTCTTTCTATTTACCTTAAACTGTTTCTGCAGGATCAGAATCAGAACCAGAACATCTGGATCCAGCTCCGGGTTCAGGTGTTCTTTCTCTCCTAGGATCCTTTGAGGCTGGTCTGGTTCTGGGTTCTGGGTCAGGGTTCTGGTTCTGGGTTGATTTAAATATAAAGATCAGGAACCATCATACTGAGACCACACTGAGGTGTAAACTGATCAGCTCTGCCCCCTGGTGGTCAATGTCAGTGTTACAAACAGAGAGCTCTCACTTAATTGATCTTCATTTACATCAGGAGGTTTTCAGGCGTGTGTCAGAGTTCAACTGTATGAAGACGTCCAAACACACTCAGAGCAAACATGATCAAAATAATAATAATAATAATAATAATAACAACAACAACAACAACAACAACAACAACAAAATAATTATTATTATTATAATAACAATAATAATAACAATATAATAATAATAATAATAATAATAATAATAATAATAATAATAACAATATAATAATAATAATAATAATAATAATAATAATAATAATAATAATCTGTAGATGTAGTTTTTTATACTCAAACACTCTTCAGCACTCCTCCCCCTCCTTCTTCTCCTTCTCCTCCTCCTCCTCCTCCTCAGTGTGTCACTCTCTCAGTGCGTCGCCACGGGAGCAGCTTAGTGTGAATTAATCTGAATTAATTTAAGCTGCTGTTAGCTTCACCTCACTTAATGAACTTGATTACACACACACTCTCACACACACACACTTAATGAGTCAGCTGCACAGGTGTGTGTGTGTGTGTGTGTGTGTGTGTGTGTGTGTGTGTGTGTGTGTGTGTGTGTGTGTGTGTGTGTACATGTTAGACACAAAGGTGGAATCTGATTGGCCGGTATTTTCCTCTTTTTTTATTTACTGAATTTGATGCTGACCTCATGACAAACACACACACACACACAATAACGTCTTTTCTGCATGTGTGTGTGTTTAATGAGCTCTGATCAGGTGTTGACTTGAACACCTGCGGTGTCGCTCTGCAGCTCTGAGCTCCGATCTCTGACATCATTAAGTTCGTTTACAGTCTCAGTTTAATCAGAATAAACTCATAATTCGTCTTTTTCCGACTTCTCTCCTCGTCCTCGTTTACATGCAGCTGAGAAAATCGAATTATTGACGTGAACGTGTCCTCCTCCCCAACACTAGGGGGCGATATGGGTCTTTTCAGCGGCGCTGTTTCCGACCCCATCCAACCGTCAACAACAACAGCAGGTCGGTGTCAGACGTCAGAAGTGTCTACAACTGCTGCTGGGCATTTTGGAGAAACAAGAAGATGGAGCATCGTACAGCGTTGTTTTTGTCCGACATGATGGACGCGCTACTTTTTCTAAAGAGGAGACCAACGCTACTCCTCTACTCTGGGGTTTTGTTACAGGGTTAGGGGGGCGTGGCTTCATACTGCGACTACGCTGGTTACATGGTAGAGAAAATCGAATTCCAATCAGATTATCTGGGTGTCTTAATCAGAGTTCTTAAACTCAGATTATAGTCAGACTAAAGTGTTTATATGACCTTCAGTTGTCCGGTCTTAATCGGAATAAGACGATAATTCGTTTTTTTCGAGTGTCATGTGAAACGGACTGAATGATCATGTTTTCATGAAGGAAATTCCAGGGGTGGAAATAAAGGGATATAACCAACTGCAGTTCCTCCAGTGTCCACTAGAGGCCGTCTTACAGTGAGTCAGCTCCCATAGAGCTCCATGTTGAAACGTCACTCTGGTTTCCTTCAGCGGTTTGAAACAGACTCTGATGTTCTTCTTCTGTTCTCCTCATTATCAGGTCTTCAGTTTTACCGTCCTGATCCAGATCTGAGGGTCTTGGTCCGCTAGTTTGGGTTTGACCCGCCCCCCCGCTGAGTTCGTCTTCCTGAAGGAGACGGAGCATCTCTGCGGGGGTCCATCAGCCGGACGGACAGACGGACGATTTAATGGACTGTCTGCTGATCGTCCATCAGCCTTTAATTGACCTGCAGGCTGAGAGTGTGTGTGTGTGTGTGTGTGTGTGTGTGTGTGTGTGTGTGTTAGCAGCACATTAACATCTTTTCAAACTGAATTTGAGGATCTGACCCCGAGGACCAGCAGCTGATGGACGATTATTCACGTCTCATCTCACCTGGACTCGTTTACCTGCGGCGGTCTGCAGGACAGTGAGGGGGGGGTGGGGTTGCTGATGGCGGCGGCGGCGGCAGTGATGGTGGTGGTGGAGGCCAGTGAACCATCGTCTGCATAATCTGCTCTCAGGCAGAAGCACTGAAGCTGTCAGATGCTGCAGAGCGGCGGCGGCGGCGGTGTTTAAATCCGTGATGGAACCGTCAGCCGGACGCCATTAGCCGCATGCTGACACTCTTCCTCTCCACTTCCCGCCTAAATATGTCTCCCTCTTCTTCTCCTCCTCAAACATGTCAAACACGCGTGACTGCTCATCGAACACACGTCCAGGCGGCGGCGGCGGGCGGATTACGGGTTTGACAGCCATGTTGTGTTTGTTTGCGGCGGCGGCGGCGCTCTGCGGGGAGGAAGAGGAGGAAATGTGGAGGAAGAGATTGGCTCAGAGGTCGTTAGCGGGCGGCTGATGGTTTGGGTGCCGATGGAGCAGAATTAGCATTTAAAGTAGTCGCCCACCAGGCATTAGCACACCTCTGTGAGCTCAGCCAATATGTCCCCCGCTGCCTCCAAACACCGAGGGAGCGGCGAGGAGGAAGACGGCGAGGAGGAGGACGAGGACAAGTCTTCATCTCCAGAGACATGTCGCTACAGGAAACGGTCCGTCATTAAAACTTTCCCTCTGAGGGAGAAACAGGAGGAGGAGTTCAGACACGAGTCTGTCAGATTACAGAGAGAAGATCCAGATGTAATCAGATTATAATCCGGTTTAAACTCTAATCTGAATATGACGGTGACAGTGTGGCGCTCTGTCAGGTCTCTGACTGCGGTTTGGTGGTCCAAACTCTGGGTCCACAGGTCTGACCCACATCCTCACGGTATCAGGACATCCCAGTTTCACCTCCTTCTCACTGCAGACGTTAAAAATCATGATGAGGAAAATTTCAGGAAGTTTTACGGAGAATTTAGAAAAAAAACGACAAAATCAGTCGAATTCAGGAACGACAAGAACGGAGCGACACACGACTTCATCGACCGTTTAACATGATTACTGAGATCATCATTCGTCTTCTTCTCTGAATCAGACTTCTCTCCTCGTCCTCGTTTACAAGCAGCTGAGAAAACGGAATTATTGACGTGAACGTGTCCTCCTCCCCAACACTAGGGGGCGATATGGGTCTTTTAAAGATGTCTCCGTTCCTCGTTTTGCAACCGTCCATATACTCTAAAATGTCCATCTCTGTCAGGACGTGAACGATAACGGCGCTCTCCTCGTCCTTCCAAAAGTGGACGTTCTCTCGCACTTCAGTCGTGTTCCAGTCGCTTCTGAGTCGAAAGTTCTTTAGATGATAGCGCCACTTCTTCTTCTCTGGTGTTTTTGTTCCGGGGTTACAGGGGCGTGGCATCGTCCGATCATACTGCGACTACGCCGGTTACATGGTAGAGAAAATCGGATTCCAATCGCATTATCTGGGAGTCTATATCGGAGTTCTGCGACTTTAATGAGTGTCATGGAAACGGACTGAATGATTTCTAATTCTACATTGAAAGCGTAGATTTCCACTCCAGAGTCATGTGACTAACCTGTTGGACATAGTTGGTTTAAAATCATCTGAAAACCATAAAAATCTGTTTTATTTCCGATCATTTTAACCCTTAAATGTCTTTTAAACTTCGTCCCTCAGTTGTCCGGTCTTAATCGGATTAAGGCGATAGTTCGGTTTTCCCGAGTGTCATGGAAACAGACTGAGTGAAACGTCTCAGGAGAAGACTCTGTCTCCTCAAATGATGGTCATGCTTTTATTTTGAAATTCTGCCCATGACACTTATTTTGTAATAGAAGTAACCTGCTCAGCTCTGACTTAAAGACCGCAGTGAACTCTCATCAGGGAAAAACTAAAAACAGCAAATTACTGACGACTTCAAACAAAACAAACACAACGAACAACAAGAGCTGACAACCAGCCGAGCAGAAGATCCACCATCACTCTGTCCTCCTCCTCCTCCTCCTCCTCCTCTCAGAGTGTTTTAATCTCCGCCTGAAGCAGCAGCTGAAGAAAATCTTCCTCCTCCTCTTCAGACTCTGTGAGGGACCACCAGGTGAAGATAAACTCCGACACCTGAACGCATCGCTGCAGGGTGTGTTTAAAGCCCACAGGAAACCTCAGCGCCTTCACTGATATTCACTCCTGAGCATGTTAATCTGAGTTAATCTGAGTTAATCTGAGTGAAAACAGGAGGAATTATGAACTTTTTTCTTTTAACTACCGCCTTTTTTATTTTTTTAGAGATTTTTGCTTCCTTCCCTTCTCTCCTTCCTTTGGTTCCTCGTCTCCTTTGCTCCTTCCTCTCCATTAAATTTGAATTTTTTTGTCTAAATTTTCACCAGTAAAACAAAAGAAACAGAGGAGTCTCTCAGCACTAAGAGGATCATGGGTAATGTAGTCCTCCTCCACAGAGAAGGATGATTGACAGTTCGGAGGAGTCGCTCTGACTCTGAAGTCGCTGATTAAACTTTTTTTTATTTCATCTTTTTTTTTCTCCTCCATCACATTTTTTAGCAGCTTCTTTATTTTTTCTTTACTTCTTTTTTTTTCTTTTTCTTTTCTTGTTTTCCTTTTTTCTGATTCTCTCGTCTTTTACTCTATTTTTCCTTTTCTTACTTTCTTTTCTTTTTCTGTATTCTCTCTTTTTTCTTTCTTCACTTCTTTTCTCGTTTTCTCTCTCTCTCTCTTTTCCTTCCATCCTTCTATATTTGTTTACATTATTTTTCTTTTTTTCTGATTCTTGTTTTATTTACTGTTTTTCTGGCTTTTAGTTTTTGTTTCTTTCTTTCTCCTTTCCTACTTTTTTGTTTTTTTTCCTTTTCTTAATTTTGCCTTTTTTCTTTCTTTTTTTTCGTCTTTTTTTTTCTTTCATTCTGCCCTTTCTCCTTCCTCATTTTCTTGCTTTTATCTCTTCTTTCTCTTTTTCCTCCTTTTTGTCTTTTTTTCCTTGTTCTTTCTCTTTTTATCGTCATATTTTTCCTTTTTGTTTTCTTTTCTTCTTTTCTTGTTTTTTGTCTTCCAACTTTATTTCTTTTTTCTCTCCCCATCTTATTTTCCTTTTTTTAATGTCTCCCTTTTTTCTTTCTCGTTTGTTTTTTGTTCTTTTTTTCTTTCTTTTTCATTTTTCCTTCTTTTCTTTTCTTCTTTTGCCTTTTTTTCCTCCTCCCTTTTCTTTCTCATTTTTCCTTTCCGTCTTTTTCCTTGTTTTAATGTTTGTCTCTTTCTTTTCTTCCCTTCTTCTCGTTTCTTTGCCTCTCTTTATTCTTCCCTTTTTCTTTATTTCTTGACTTCCTGTCGTCTCTCTGAAGGTCAGGTCTCACCGAGGTTCATGAAGGAGCCGACGGACTTCTGGACTCACCTGTGTGAACGTACCTGAGAGGAAAGGTGGCGTTCTGGTCCGACAGGTACGCCGGATACCTCACAGAAGATGAGACTGAAGGTTCGAAGGTCGTCTGAGTTTGGGGTTTTAATCGCCGCCATCTTTGGCCTCCGAACCAGAAAATGACCATATATGGACACGTTTGAGGCTGAAATAAAAACAGCAGCTGAACACGAAGAGTTTGAGTTATTCTGCCGAAAATATAAGTGTGTGTGTTTAAGTGTGTGTTGAAGTGTGTTGAGGTGTGTGTGTGTGTGTGTGTGTGTGTGTTGAAGTGTGTTGAAGTGTGTGTGTGTGTGTGTGTGTGTGTGTGTGTGTTTCGGAGGATTATGTTAAACTTCCTGCTCGGACTGGAACGCTCGCTGTTTGACAGCCGAAGAGACCAAGCTGGCATGCCTTTACCCACAATCCCTCTTTGTTCTGCTGCGTGTCAGCGGTCCAATGGCGGCGTAAGAAGACACGGATATGAACTTCCTGGAGTCTGTGAAGCTTCAGGTCTTTTTGTTATTTGAGGACGGAGACTGAACGCTTCACTTCTTCTTCTTCTGTTTTATTATCTCCTCCTCCTCTCCTCCTCCTTCTTCTTCTTCTTTTTTTTTTTATGTTTAAAATAATCTGATTAAAGAATAAAGTGACGAGTTTTTACAGAGACGGGTTCTTTAAGGTCGGCTCTGTTTTTATTTATTTTAACTGTAAAAATATTTAATGTTCAAACGGAGATTCTCCTTTTCCTCACCGGTTTTTACTCACGTTTAACTTCCAAACTTTCAAACAGAGTTTGTAAAAAATTCATCATGAAAGATTTTTTTATTAGTTACTAAATTTCACAGTTTTTATATTTCAGGTCTGTTTTTGTTTTCATTTCGATCAGTATTTCTAAACGATTATTCATAAAAAAGGATTGAAATCCAACAGCTGTGTCTCGATATATAAGATCATGTTTTATTCTTACGTCAGAGTCACTCAGTTATTGAATGAAGTTATTTTTTTAATTTTTCTAAATTAATTTCAAACTAAAATGTTTGAACTCTTTCTCTAATTTCGATGATCGTCTTCTGTCGTCTTTCTTTGGTCTTTTTAGTTTTTATTTCTGAATTAAACCGAGTCTTCATGTCTTCAGTTGATGTTGTATTTGAGTATTTGCTGCCTCCTGCTGGTGGTTCTCAGTCATTACACTCATGTGTTCATCAGTTCATATCAGAGGAAGTTCAATGAAAACCTGAGAGTTTGATGTTTTTCGTCTTTTTTAACCTTCCTTTCTTTCTGATTCTCTTGCTGACATTTACTCTATTTTTCTTTTCTTTTTTCTTCTTCTATTTTCGTTTGCCTTCTTTTTCTTTTCTTTTATTCTAGCTTTTTTTCTACATTCTTTGTTCTCCTTAACTTTTTTTCTGTTTTCTTAAATCCTTTTCATTTTCCTTTCTTCTTTCAGTTTTGTTTTTTCTTGTCTTTCTGTCTGAAGTTTTTTCTCCTTTTCTTTTATTTTCTTGTTTACATCCTTTGTCTCTCTCTCTTTTTTCCTTGTTCATCCTCTTTTTATTGTCATGTTTTCCCTTTTTGTTTTTTCTTCTTTCCCTTTTTTCTTGTTCCTTCCCTCTCTTATTCGTTTTTCTTTCTTTAATTATTTTCTCTCTCATCTTTTCCCTGTTTTTGTTTTTTAATACCTTCTTTCTCTTTTCTCACTTTCATTTTTTCTTCTTTTTTCTTTCTCAGTAGAAATCCAGTGAAAACCTTTAAGTCTGATGATTTATTCCGTATTTACAGACACCGAGGATTTTCTCTTGTTTTCTCATATTTGGTGTTAAATGTGATTTTAGGACTTTGTTGTGTTTTGACCCTTAAAGGCCACCGTACCTGACGGTTTGACACAGACGAGTGGAGGCTGCAGGATTTTAGATAAAAAGTGATTTAATCAGTTTTTTTTCTTTGTGACACAAACAGTGTAAGGCTCAGAACCGTCGCACACATGGATCAAAATTTACACCATCATCATCATCATCATCATCATCATCATCATCACCATCATCACCACCGTCATCGTCGTCATCGTCAGGTATAAAACCAACCTTCGGCTCGCTGTGGTATAAAACACTTATGTACACTTCGTCACCCCTCCCCCGCCGCTCGCCCTCTGGTCCCTCCCCGCCTCACCTGTCTCACCTGAAGGTCTGTGATGCATTCAAGCCGCCTGGGAAAATCGAATGTCGTCATTTTGACCTGAAACTTGGACCTTCACGGACCTCCGACTGTTTCTTCCTTTGGACCGAACTTTAGTTTCGCGACTCCAGAGCTGTGTAAAAAGTAACACCCACAGCCGAGCGGCCGAAACAGAAGAGTTTCAGGCAGACACGAGAGAAACGGGGAGGTTTTTCGACGCTACGTGTCCCGTGTGGAGTGGTCCGGTCAGAGGTTTGCTTCCAGCCTGTCGCTCCTCTCCAACCAAACGTTTGTCTTCTTCGACATCTTTAATTTCATGTTTTATGAAACAGAGACGAGCGGTTCTGTTACGGACGTTCAAACTTTGGTTCATCAGGCGGTCCTGATGGCGTCTGACTGATGAGGAAGAAGATGGCGCTCCTTCGTGGTCAGACGGATCACAGAAAACTCGAGCGAGAGCGTTTGGTCTCCGTAGATTTGAAGTAATCCGTGACTCTAACGTGTTTGGATTAAATCTTTGACTGGACTTGGATGAGAGGGCGTTGAGAAACCGGACAGCGAGGAACCCCTGAAACCTCACTCGGACCAGGACGCTCTAGCGGCGCTCAGACTTCGATGAGGGTCCGATAAGACGAGTCTGACTGTGAAATCTGAAGTTTCATCCACAGAGATTCAGGATCTTCATCCCCAAAGAGTCTGAGCTCTTCCGGGTCTCCCAGGTGACCTGAATGCATCACGGCTGCGGACCTGTCGGCTCAGACAGGTGAGGTTCAGGTGGACGTCGGAGCAGCTGGAATGTCGACGTAACAATAATATTAAGACACAGATAAACCAGAACCAGAACTTTCCGGTTTCCTACGTTTGTGACGGGCTTCTCCTCCGTCAGACTCTCAGAACGACGAGGAACGAACACCTGAAGTACGACTTGAAGGCACTCCACTTTACGTCTGGTTTTGCAAAAGAGACTGGAGTCGCACCGGCGGGGCCGAGTCCCGTGAAGCGGGCGAGAAATTCGGAAACATTCCCACAGGAGGAGACGGTCGGAGCCGGATCGGGCCCTCCGTCTCCGGGTTTTTAGTCCCTCCAACCAGAAACCTGAGGCAGGCAACTTTGTTTGCATCGAGAAGGCCGTTTTTGGTTTCAGCTGTAGTGGATCACGAACTTATAAATAAAACCGTTCAGAGATGCAACGCGACAGACAAGACAAGCCGACACATCGGGATTCAACAGAACAACGCGAGAGAAACCGAAGAGATCGTAGAAGGAACCGAGACGAACTCGCAGAGACAGCAAAAAACCCGACAAACCAAAGAGCAGGAATGATTAAAATATTGCTACGATATCTGATTATCGGAATAAAACGATTGCATACGTGGAAATAAAAGAAGTCAAAGAAACAAAAAAACTACAGACCCAACAAACCCAACGGCAAAAACACAGTTCACATGTTTGACAGTAACCAGCAGTACAAAACACGCCCACATCAACGCCAACCAGGAAATACGCCAAAATACAAAGTAAGACGCCGCAACAGTAAACCTTTTCTTCTGTAAACCTGATCTGGGACCATTTACAGAGGCATGATGGGAGATTTTTTTTTACACGTCAGAGCCGAGGTGGATCTGACTTCAGGAATAAGGCACAGGGATTATCTGAAGGCCGAACCACCGCCGGATTAACGCCGTCTGAGGGTAACCCGGGATGGGGCCGAGGTGTCAGAGCGGATCTTCAGGACAGGAGAGCGGAAACCTGACGGTCTGAGAGTAAAGGCAGAACTCTGAGTCCACACGGTCAGAACCTGCAGAACCGGAGCTCCAGAGAGAGAGTCCGCCAGGCTGACTTTAACTCTCTGCTTCTGGGATTAAAGTCAAAGGACCAGGATTATAATCTACAGAGAAGTTCTCCAGCAGAACTCAGAACCCGGACTTTATTCACACCCGCTGATGTTCTCCTCCTCTCCTCTCCTCTCTGACTGACAGTCCAATGAGTTTCAGGATCATAATCTAAGACCGCACCAGACCCGGCGGTGGTTCTGCAGACGTGTTGGAATGATTGGAGTGTAGTGGATCAGACCCTGCTGGGGGTCTGAGGGCTCAGATGGAGGACTTGGAGAAGGACACTCGCAGGTGGTGGTTCTCTCCCAGGTCGTGGTTGTGGAACTCGATGAGGGACTCGATGGCCTCCTCCACCGAGCCCATCTGGATCAGCGCCATCTTGTGGTCCTTCCTGAACGAGAAACCAGAAAGAACAGGAGGTGGTTCAGCTGCTTCAGCAAAGTCCTCAGAAGGGACAGGAGATCTGGGGCAGGGGTCAGGAGACGACCCGGGTCCTCGTTTATAAAACTGTGCCCCCCCCTTTTTATTTTTTATTTTTTATTTTTTTTATTTTTTTATCCCCCCCCCTTTTTATTTATTTTATTTTTTATTTTTATTTTTTTATTTTATTTTATTTTTTTTTTTATTTTTTATTTTTATTTATTTTTTATTTTATTTATTTTTTATTTTCTTATTTTTTTATTTATTTTTTTTATTTTTTTTTTTTTTTATTTTATATATATATATATATATATATATATATATATATTTTTTTTTTTTTTACTGAGTTCTGCTTATTCATTTGTTTCCACTTGCTCAGACCTTATTGATGTATGCAATGCTGTATTGTTGTTATGTTCGAAAAATGGAATAAAATCTGATTATTAAAAAAAAAAAAAAAAAAACTGTGCGTAGGAAAGATCACGACAGGTGGCGTACGCCGGAAACGCAGGAAATGTGCACGCATGCCGCACGCCTGTTTCTGTTTATAAATCACAATCAACTCTAAAGTTGTCGCACATGAGAGAACGCTTTGCTCCGCCCATTTTGTTCCTATAAGAGGGCGGGTGAACGCCCTGTATGAATATTCAATAATGACGGAAAACGGGCGAAAAAGAGACATTTTACTGAACGTGAGATCGAAACGCTAAAAGGCGAGATGGACACACGGAGAAATGTCGTAGTTGGCGGGTACAGAGTCAGGTTGAAGAGACATGATGCTGCAGATGTTGTGAATAAAGTCGCCTCAGAAGGTCGGACCGACGTGGTCGACATCAAAGTGGAGGCGAAGAGGGGGTGTCCCCCTCTACAGGTAGAGTGACGGTGCTACAGGGGGGCGAAAGTGCTCCAGAAGGACCCGAAGAACGTGACTTTTTTTTTTCTTGTTTAAAATAATAAAAATGACGATTTTAAAAAAATCGGATTCTTTGTTCAATCCGATCTTTCTGTGCGGTCGTTCACGTTACAACGACGAAGATGTCCGTGAGGTGACCCTCATGAACACAAAGCACAGCCATTTGGTGATAAAACTAGAGACTAATTTGGATATAACTTTTTTTTTTACTGCAGCAAATGTGATGAATTTTTTTTTTCTAAGCTTAATTTGACATTTTATTTGGAAACATGAATTCAACATTTTCACCAGGTCAATAATAAAGCCAGGACAGGAAAACTTCCTTTAAAGTCCCTCGTGGCTGTCAAAAGCCACTTGATTTGTCGGCTGTAAAATCATATTGGATTAATATTTTTTTCAGATTTTTTTTCATACATTTCTTATTTTACTTCTGCCCTGTTCGAAACTAGCAAATGTTTCATTGAAAACCAAAATTTTAATCCTTTAAGTGCAAATTTAAGACAAAAAGTCACTTAAAAAGCAAAAAAAATGGAAGGAAAATGACCAATTTTTTATATAAAACATAATCAAAAAACTGGTAATCTCTTGCAGGGTATTTAAGTCTTGAATATGTCAGAGATTAGTAATATAATTGACTCAAATGCATTTTAAGTTTTTCTGTAGCATCAGATTTAATGAAAAACTGCCTTTGGCGCCTCCCAGTGGCCAAAACTACTTTTTCTGCTGTAAAATCATATTGGATTAATATTTTTTTCAGATTTTTTTTCATACATTTCTTATTTTACTTCTGCCCTGTTCAAAACTAGCAAATGTTTCATTGAAAATAAAAAATTTTAACCCTTTAAGGGCCAATTTAAGACCTTAAGTCTCTTATGAAGCATTTTCCTTCCATTTTTTTGCTTCATAAGAGACTTTTTGTCTTAAATTTGCACTTAAAGGGTTAAAAAAATGGTTTTCAATGAAACATTTGCTAGTTTTGAACAGGGCAGAAGTAAAATAAGAAATGTATGAAAAAAAATCAGAAAAAAATATTAATCCAATATGATTTAAAAGCCGTCAAAAAAAGTGGCTTTTAACAGCCACGAGGGACTTTAGAGGGAGAAAAATCTGAAGGGTTAATTACAATCGTTAATATAAAACTTATGATATAAAACCGGCTGATTGTTTATGTGAGTGGATTTCATTATAACGTCGAATTAACATAATTAACTCAATAATAAAGGCGAAGTGTGTCGGCGCGTGTGTGTGTGTGTGCGTGCGTTTGCTCGTGCGCTCCCTGGGGCATCAATATACGTTTTCCCTCCTTCTTCGTCTTTGTGAATAAATCTTAATTTACGATATTTGTAGTGAAATGTGTCATTTTCACATTTCTCTGTCTTTACTTTCATCCTCCTCCTGTCGGGGTCGCAGTTTCTCGTTTCTTCAGGGTCAGTGCGCACATTCTCCCGTCGAGTTTGTTTTTTATAAATCCCAAACTTCGCTTACAAGTGGCGTACGCTGCGTTTATAAATGAGGCCCTAGATCTCCGGAGCAGAGGGGACAGAATTCAGGGTCAGGAAACCGAACCTGGATCGAAGGAACTTACTGGAAGAACTTAAAGGCTTTGACTGTGGCTCCTGAGCTGGAGAACAGCATCCTGAGGTCCTCCTCCACCACAGAAGGTCTGCAGACGAGAGAGAGAGAAACGTCACATTAGCCCGGTCTGCGTCACATGACTGATCTGAGGGTTCTGCAGCTGGTTCCGGTCGGGTACCGGGACTTACGGGATGTTGGAGAGGTGTAATGTGGCAGAAGGTGGAAAGATGTTGGAGTAGTTTTTGGAGCCGGGTTTCTTGAAGCGGTGCAGAGGGGAGTTGCTGTAGTCTTTGGTCAGACCCTGGTCCTCGTGGCCCTCTCGGGGGAGCTGAACGCTGGTGTGTTTGGACAGCGTGATGCGCAGAGACTTCCCGTAAAGCTGCTGCCCGCTCAGGTGGCTCATGGCTGCAGAGAGAGACAAACAGTCCTGGAGTTTCAGAGCTTCATCTCGATTATCGTCACCGACTTCGATAAGCTCTCGGGAAATTTAACGAAACAAAAGAACGTGAATAAAAATATCTGATCGGTTTAATTTGAAGCAACAACATGTTTGTAAAAAGTCGTTTTAAAGGTTCATGATCGTGTGTCCTCAGCTCTGTAGACCTTAGTGAACCAAGCAGACCAGGTTCTGGGGTCTGACACTCAGTCCGTTTCCATGACACTCGAGAAAACCGAATTATCGCCTTATTCCGATTAAGACCGGACAACTGAAGGTCATGTAAACACTTTAGTCCGACTGTAATATTATAATATTAAATCCTATTTTGTCCATGGAGGGTTTTATAAGCCACGCCCCCGTAACCTCGTAACACAACCCCCAGAGTAGAGGAGTAGCGTTGGTCTCGTCTTTAGAAAAAGTAGCGCGTCCATCATGTCGGACAAAAACAACGCTGTACGATGCTCCATCTTCTTGTTTCTCCAAAATGCCCAGCAGCAGTTGTAGACACTTCTGACGTCTAAAAAGACTCATATCGCCCCCTAGTGTTGGGGAGGAGGACACATTCACGTCAATAATTCGATTTTCTCAGCTGCATGTAAACGAGAACGAGGAGAGAAGTCGGATTCAGAGAAAAAGACGAATTAAACGAGCTGAGTGAAACGTTGTCCCAGTTTCTCAGCAGGACTCTTCTACTACAGAGTCATGGTGTTGTAATCTCAGGTCCAGAGAGGTCTCTGGTGGTCCTGGATCCTGGTTCTATTTGGTTTCCTCCTTCGTGGTTCAGTGTAAACCTCATTAGCGGACTCTCTACTCTTTAGAGAGGACGATGCAGCATCTATGATGTCCAGGTCTATGTTGAAAGGACAACTGGACTTAGTTGAGACGTTTCGCCTGTGGTGACTGGAAGATCAGGACCATCCAGTCTAGAAGTTCCTCTATCAGAACTTTGGACCCGTTTGGTTCTTCCTCTCAGAACTTTTTACAAACATGTTCCTGGATTCAAGATTAAAACGACTTTTCCAGTTTCATCGTTCGACTCGTTTTCTTCATTTTTAATTGTCTCAGCACCAGAACTCCTCCTCCTCCTCCTCAGGGATCGGACTTTGTGTTACAGACTCAGAGACTTTAGTAAAGAGGTGAAATCACAGAACCACACTGAGCATGTGCAGGAGGTTACCTAGCTGAGCCTGCGTGCTGTCGGACATCTGAACCAGAGCGTTCTCCTTCTTGTTGAAGAGGATCTTCACCCTCATCACGTCGCCGTAAACACCTTCACACACACACACACACACACACACACACACACACACACACACACACACACACACACACACACACACACACACACACAGTCAGAGGTGGACACATTAAAGGTTGAGCTCTGGTGGTTAAACAGGAAGTGATGCAAACATTAAATGAACGCATGAAGCTGCAGCCTGACGCCCTGACACAGAGCTCTCTGTCTGAATCTGATCTGACTGCCACGCTGCTGACCCACAAACTCTAGGATTACAGATTACAGATTATAGATTACAGATTATAGATTACAGATTACAGATTACAGATTACAGGGGTGTAAACCTGGAGGAGGAGCAGCAGCAGGAGGAGGAGGAGAGAGTGAGGCGCTGCTGTCTGAGTTTCATCTCATTAAGTTTCTGAATGTTATAAAAGGAAACGCAGCGAGGAAATTAAGGGTAAGGGTCAGAGAGAATTAAATGGCAGATTACTCTGTGTGGAAGCTATGAATTATGGGAGCGCCGACTTCAAAAACAAGAGCAGCTGATTCAGGTCTGAAAACATGCAAACTGAAAGAAAACCAGCATGCAAACTCAAAAACTTCACTGACGTCAGATAAACACACAATAAATGCAGCTTCCAAACAAACGAACCAGAGGCTGCCGACGCCGAGACGCTCACATGACTGATTAACCAGGAAGAGCGCCGTTAAAACTCGGGGGTGTCAACATCTACACACGTGAACGGAAACACGGATAAGAAATCAGAACTGTTTAGAAATCGCATTACTCCAAGTTGACTCGGGGACACGATGGCGGCGGTCAACGAGCGGAGCGCTGTGTGGCAGTTTTTGAAGCAAACCGCCGGTGGAAATCGAGTTAAGTGACGGCGAAGTTACCCGTGATGGAAACTAGGGCCAATTTTAGCCCCTTTGAGACTAATCGGCCAAAACTCGCAGATTTTCACCGATATTTTCAGAAGTTGAAAACGCTTTTCTGGTCCGACTTTTATCAGTCCATCTTCCTGTCTACAGAACACACATATTTTTTATAACTTCATTAACCCTTATGTAACGGTGTGGCTAAAAAGAGCCACTTGGGGCAGAATTTAGCCACCAATTTCCACGTAACTTTTTTTTTACTGCACCAAATGGGATGATTTTTTTTTGTGGATGCTTATATTGATGGACACTTTGAAAATATTACTTCAAAATTTTCACCAGGTCAAAAATAGGCGCTCGGCAAATTTTACACCCTTTGGTAACGCCCACTTTTTTTGACTGCTGTAAAAACATATTAGATTCATATTTTTTCCGGATTTTTTTTCATATATCTCTTAAGTAACTTCTGCTCTATTCAAAAATGGTAAATTTTTCATGAAGCATCAAAATTTTAACCCTTTAAGGGCCAATTTAAAAAAAAAAGTCACCAAAATTGACTGGAGTGGCTTTTTTTTTAGCCACTGAGCGTTAAGATAGGATGTTTTTTGGAAATCTAATCCTACATAAAAAACTTAAAGGGCATCAAAGTCAATGATATTACTAATCCTTTACATATTCAAGACTTTATTACCCTGCAAGAGATTTCCAGTTTAGGATGATGTTTTCTATTAAATATCAGTCATTTTCTCCTATTTTTTCCCAATTTTGGTGACTTTTTTTTTAAAATTGGCCCTTTAAGGGTTAAAATTTTGATGCTTCATGAAAAATTTACCATTTTTGAATAGAGCAGAAGTTACTTAAGAGATATATGAAAAAAAATCTGGAAAAAATATGAATCCAATATGTTTTTACAGCAGTCAAAAAAGTGGTGTAAATTGCGACGGTTACACAAGGGTTAAAAAATTTTAAAAATCAGCTGATTAATCGGTAATCAGATTTTTTCCCCCCATAAAAATCCGTATCGGTCGGGCCTGAATGGAAACACCCGAACAGACCGTGCTCCCACTCGCGGTTCACAGGCTGATTAAACATCCAACAGGGCGAAGAAATGCGACAAGGCACGGAATTAACAGATCAGCAATTTAGTAGCTAAAACTGAGGATGACAGATTTTCCTGGAGCCAGGCGGTGAAATTCTCCGCAGAGCGACAGTTTCGGAAATTAAAAGTACGTTTTCTCGTCCGTCAAAATAAACGATGATTTTAATTCAAACTCGTTTTACTTCCTCTGGTAAATCAGCCCTAAAGTGTTAACTGAAGGTCTGTGATTTATCTGTTGGCTATCATTGAGCACCTATTTGAAGTGGGTCTACGAGAATACGTTTTTGTCTGATAAATACTGGAGTGACTTGGAGACAGAGCCTTCTAGTGGTTATATAGCGCAACTGCGATAGAAAGGTTAGAAGCCCCGTTTACACGTGTAGAAAAAAACTGTAAACATTGACACCCTTAGTTCAAAACTCAGAAAAAAGGTGATCAGATTAATGTCGATCTAACTTTAATTTAAGTAGATTTTTCTTACATTTCTCGCCCCTGATGTTATCCACCTTTAAAACTCCTGAAGTCTTTTTTTCTCTCTAAATTAAACTCCTGAAAAGTAAAAAGGACTTGAGTAGTCCACGTCTTCTGCTCTTCTCTAACTTCAGGCACTAACAGACAGAAACACCTGGAAAACTTCACAAACAGACAATTCGCCTTTTTTGTGAAATATTCCTTTAACTTTTTAGTGACGACATTTTAACGGTACCCGTACGACAGTAACCTGTGACCTCTGTGACCTCTGTTTACGCCCCCCGAATCCAGGAGTCACCCTCCGGTGCGCCCTCTAGAGGTCTTAAGGAGACAAACCCGCTCACACAGATTTAAGGTTTCTCTATAAAGCTGCAAGTATTGTGGTCAAAACTCAAAACCAGCACGCAAAATCAGACACAAGCAGCTCGGCAGACACTCAAATTCTTCATGAAGAACAAAAATCAGAACAACAGGAAGTACTGACATTTCAAAATAAGAAGCTAGTGACAACATACCGAAGAGAATAAAGAGGCAGTGGGGCGTAACTCTCTTTAAAGACAGCAGAGAAGGCAGCGGAGGGACAGGACAGGTAAAGGTGGGAGGGCAGGACAGGTGGAGGGTCCGAGACGTTTCCATGGCAACAAATTAAAGGGGAAAAAAAACAACAAAAAAAAGACAGGTGAGGGGTCAATCAGAAGGTTAATTACCTTTGGAGAGGAGGGGTCAGATAATGTCAACATGAGGAGAACACGTGTGCACAGGACTCAACAGGTGTGTGTGTGTGTTTACACAGGTGTGTGTGTGTGTGTGTGTGGTGGAAGATCACTTTGTTCCTCCTGCAGCAGGTTAACGGGCCGAACCAAAGAGGGTCCGTTTAAAAAGTTCATGTTTTTGTTTTGATTCGACTCGATAACTGAGATCTAAGAATCTGAAAAGATTATTTTACGGAAATCAAAAGATGTTCTACGAAAAGGTCGTATCCTCCGATCGTAAACATTCAAGTTAACGTGTCAATTTACACCGACTTCGGATCGCCGGACTCCTCAGCTGATCACAAGAGTTCTATATTCCACATTTTTTGTCTGGATAAATGCAGATGTTGCTCCTAAACCTGGAGATATAGTTTAAAACTGAGGATGCAGCATCTATGATTTCCAATTCTTCGCTGAAAGGACAGTTGGACTTACTTGGGACGTTTCACCTCAGGTGAAAACATCCCAGGTAAGTCCAACTGCGTGTTGACCTGCTGCAGGACGAGTAAAGACGGTGAAAACATCATGTGATCAGAGTTACAGACGTCTGTGTGAAACACTGAGAATATGAAGACGATGATGATGATGATGAAGATGATGGTGATGGTGAAGGACAGATATGCTGCAGGGGCTCAGGGTGAAGGACCCACCTCCGGGTTGAGGTTGCTGATCAGCAGGACACAGACTCCAGCGGGGAGGGGGGGGAATCCCAGCCTGGTGGCCCCGGGGAGGGAGAGAGAGGCCAGGCCTCCGGGCAGGGAGGGGACCGTCAGGCCTGGATAGGGGAGGGACACTGGGAGAGGTGAGACGAGTGAACATCCGCCCCAGAGCTGCAGGACACGTCTCACTCATGCTGACGTCACAGAAAAAACGACTAGAACCAAACGATCCGATTAAACCCACAGATGATACCAGATAATCCAGACCAGGATTAAGGTTTCTGAGGAGAACCAGGCTCATATAATCCAGGTCCTGGTTTTAAATCATCTGGATTACAAACACATCAGAAAACTCAGTAATCCACATAATCCTGATGTAATAACCCAAATCTATGTGAGCCCGTAATCTTTACGTTTGATGTGGATTCACTAAAGTCTGATCCGACTCTGTAAAAACCAGGTTCTGTCTAAATCTGGTCCATAAATCAAAAACCTCTCATCGTAGTTTAGATGCTCTCTCTGAGTCTCCTGACACACCTGACCGGGTCTCAGCAGGTGAGACTCACCTGCAGGTTGGAGTGTGAAGGCCGGTGGGAAGGCGTGAGTCGCCCCGGCGTACGGCGCCGCTGAGATGATTCCTGGAGCAGCTGTGAAGACAAAACACCAGAGTTTGAGTTTTTCACCCACTCAGGACCCTGCCGTGGATCAGAACCGAACTGGACTGAAAGTGTGACGATGAATAAAAACATGAACAGCAGAGGATGTACGGCGTCTGACAGCAGAGATGAACAATTAGACTAAACACAATCAGGAAGAGAGAATCAGCTCTGAGGGAATATTCTGGATTGAGCTGAAGAAACTCGGAGGTGAGAGAGGAGCGGAGCGAAACACGACCGTTTCAAATCGATAACTGAAGACAGAAAAATAAGCAGAACAGGAGGAGACACCTCAACTCTGAAAGTTCAAACAGCTGATTTTCTCAGAGGTTCACTGTTCTCTTTATAATCCATTCTGACGTCTGCTGTTAGCTACGGTGGCCCTAAAGGTCCACTCCATCACTACACCAAAAAAATCACTAAAAGGTAAAAAAATAAAATAAAATATTTGTCACATGACCAAAAAAAAAATATATATATATATATATATGTATATATATATATATATTTTTTTTTTAATGTGAAGAAGAAACTTACACAATAAAAAAAGTAAAATATTAAGTTGTCTCATATTTTGTATTTATTTTTTCTTATTTAAAAAAAAAGTTTGTAAATGTAAATGTAAACATTTTATGACATGATTCTTTCTTTTGTGAATATTATGTGTTTTAAACAATATTTTTTTGTTTCATGAAAAAAACGGTTAAATATTTGTTTGAATAAATTTTTTTGTTATTTTTTCATGTAATAAATATTTTGTTTAACAAAATAAAAAAAAATTTTAAAAAATTTTTGTGTTTAAAGAGTTTTGTATGTAACAAAATGTTTTTGTAAAAATTTTTGGAAATAAATATTTCTACATTTTCAAAACTTATTTTTTAAATACTTTTTTGCTGCTTAATGATTTTTTTTCCAGAATATTTCTTAAATAGTATTTAAGTTTGTTTTCATTATTAAAATATTTTTGCTAAATTAAATAAAACGGCAGTTCTATGAAATATTTTTGCTGTCTATTCATGTCTTGTCACATTTAAAAGTTTTCTATTTGTTAGGAAATATATAAATATCTTTTTGAAGTTTGTTTTGACATATTTAACTTTTTGCTCTGTTTAATATTTTTTGTTTATCAGAAGTTTTTTTGTGTTCTTCACTTTTAGGGTCTTTTTTGTGTTTTTATGAAGTTGGACTTTTGTTTTTGTCAAAGAAAATGTGATAAATAAATACATAAAATTAATTGAAAAAAAATAAAGATTAAAATTAAATAATAAATAAATAAATAAATATAATAAATTGAAAATAAATAAAAATAAAAATTATATAATAAATAAATAAAAAGTTCCTTCACAGCGTTTAGTTGGTAAAATGAACGCAAACAAATATCAGGCTCTGATTGGCTGTTGGTGTTAAAGCGAGCTGACTCTGCAGTTAAGCCCCGCCTTCGTCTGTCCTGACATCGTAGGCGTGCGGTCCTCTTACTGAAGGCGGTGGCCATGGCGGGGTGCTCCATGGCGGGCTGGCTGTCTCCGGAGGGCAGGTCCGGTCTGGTGAAGTCGCGGCTCTTCTCGTTGTTGTATTTGACGTTGAGCGTGGTGAGTTTGGAGAAGCTGATCCTCAGAGTGCAGCAGCCGTTGTAGATGTTCTGACCGTCCAGAGACTGAAACAGCAGCAGCAGGTTCAGGTTATCGCCGAGCGAGGAACACGCGCTCTGTCTAACAAACAGGAAGTGAACCTCACCAGTTTGGCCGCCTGCGCCGACGCGCCGTCAGGGTACTGCAGCAGAGCCTGAAACTGGCTGTTCTTAGTGAACACGATGATCCTCAGGACCGTGCCGAACTTGGAGAAGATCTGAGGAGGACAGAGGAGGTCAGGAGGTCCCGTTTGGAGGTTTTTAATGAAGCTGCTGGTCATGGAGGCGTTTGTTTACCTGGCAGAGAGCGTCCAGGGTGACGGGGTAAACCAGGTTCTCCACCACCACCCTCAGCACCGAGCTTGGAGCCGCCACCGCCGCGTCCACGTGAGACGTACTGAGGGCCCGGAGAGCCGCCTGCGCCCTCTGAGAGGAGAGAGAGGAGAGATGAGCGAACAGACGGCGAATCATAATGACTCGGGGTGGGGGGGTAGGGGGCGTGTACCTCCTGGTTGGGGGAGTTGTCCGTCTTCAGCTCCTTGTGGTTGGAGAACTGGACGTAGACAGGGTGGTGTCTGATGATGGGCATCACCGTGGAGTAATACCCCACCATGTTCTGAGCCGCCTCCTCCGAGTTCATCTCTAGAAATGCCTGAGAGGACACACACACACACACACACACACACACACACACAGTAGTACTGAGTACTCCTCCACAGTAGAAGTACTTCCCTCACGGTCACTCTGCCGTCGCGGCGGGCGCTCACCTGGTTCTTGGCTTTGAGCATGAGCAGGTTGGTGACGTCTCCAAAGGGCAGCCCGAGGCTGATCACTTCAGCCTCGCTGATGTCGTTGGGAAGTTTCCGGATGTGGATGACCCTGGACGGCGAGCCCAGACCTCTTATGTCACCTTTGAACTTCTTGCTGTCGTTGCCATTGGCTGCAGAGACAGAGACATAAACTCGGTGAAATAAACTCGTGTGAATTTTCTCCGTCATGTTGATTATCAGTGAAGATGTCTGACCTGTGGTGCTCATGATATACGGGCCGTTAGAGACGCTGGAGAAAAGCTCGTCAGATCCTCTCTGAAAAACAAACACAGAGTCAGCGTCAGTCTCTCTCTCTATCTCTCTGACCCGAGTTTCTCAGTTAGAACCAGGTTTCCTGTCTTTGTATTTGTTCACATTAAATCCTTATTTCACAAACAGAGCCCGGCTTTGCCCAGTCTGTCACACTCCATAAATCCCAAACCAGGTCCTCTCCAATCCTGTGTACGTTCAGAACATACGGCAGAAACTCACTACATAAAACCTTTACCTGACTTGAACTGCTCTGTGTTTCCATGACAACAGCCAAACAGCAGACAATGAAGTGAAAAACAGAAACTAATAATAAGACTGTGAGCAGAGATTCGCTCCTCTCTCTCTCTCTCTCTCTCCCTCATACCTGATTCAGCCTCTTTCTCTCCGAGTCAATAACAAATAAACATGATTGATCTGATGGTCGAGTTTACTCAGCCAGGAGGAGGACGGGAAGTTTGCTTTCATGCTTTTTAAACATATGAGATATATATATATATATATATATATATATATATATATATATATCAAATACAGTTCTAAAGTTCTTGTCAAAGAACATTTATTAGTCAAACAGCTCCTTATTTAGATGAAGCTACTTTGTAGAATCAGTGTTTGTCTGATTGACCTCAAATATCTAAAGTCTGCTCATGTATTGGGAATTGTTTCTGTAAATTAATTTAATTATGTGAAATGTATGTTAATATTTGAACATCTGATTATTTCAGAACTATAACTTCACTGTGAAACTAAGGTCCAGTCATATGTGTATGTTGTTTGCGTTGTTCTAGTTTTGTTGTTTTGTTGGCTGTTGTGAGTTGTTGTGGTTATCGACGTTGACTTTGTGTTTGTGGTGTGATGTTTTCTGTGTTTTTGCTCTGAGATGGAGAAATAATCGTAAATGTAGACTTCAGGAAGAAGAGCGATGGCCTTAGCCGAAGCAAATGGAGATCTAAATAAAGGAAATGAAATATTATACATGTATAAGAGCTCCAGTATATATGAGTCTGATGTGAATAAAGACTAGAGTTATTACAGTAATCTACCTTTAACATGACCGACACATCAACATGCTGTATACGAGGAGAGCAGGAGGACGAGGCAGGTGTGTGTGTCAGTGTGTGTGTGTGTCAGTGTGTGAAAAACAGAGAGAATGTGCTGAACATTTGGGCTGAAATCCTCAGTGAATGTCCGACAAATATCCAACCTAAAACTAACTTCACCGCCGTATTTACAGGGAAAAATATTTGTTGATTTTTTTTACGCCCACATGTGACCCTAAATACATTTTACGACTCGCAAACATCTTTTTTAGTCGCAGTGAAACGGTCGCACTGTCGATCCCTGGGTTATTAATCGATTCCTCGGAGTTTAAAATGTTTCCTTATTAACCAGTTTAATTTTAATGACTTTATGATAAATTTAAATACTAAATAGAAAAGCACTCAGACAGCGCAGACCTCCGCCAAGCAGCTCATGTCCCCCCTTAAACAAGAAATGCCCTGGCCGGGATTCAAACCCGGGACCTTCTGTTTGTGAGGCGACAGTGCTAACCACTACACCACTGTGCCGCGTGTCTACACCACTGTACCGCCTGTCTACACCACTGTACCGCCAGTCTACACCACTGTACCGCCCATCTACACCACTGTACCACCTATCTACACTTCTGTACCGCCCATCTACACCACTGTACCGCCCATCTACACCACTGTACCGCCCATCTACACCACTGTGCCGCCCATCAACACCACTGTACCGCCTGTCTACACCACTGTGCCGCCTGTCTACACCACTGTACCGCCTATCTACACCACTGTACCGCCTGTCTACACCACTGTACCGCCCATCTACACCACTGTACCACCTATCTACACCACTGTACCGCCAGTCTACACCACTGTACCGCCCATCTACACCACTGTACCACCTATCTACACTACTGTGCCGCCTATCTACACCACTGTGCCGCCCATCAACACCACTGTACCACCTATCTACACTTCTGTACCGCCCATCTACACCACTGTACCGCCCATCTACACCACTGTACCGCCCATCTACACCACTGTGCCGCCCATCAACACCACTGTACCGCCTATCTACACTTCTGTACCACCCATCTACACCACAATGCCGCCTATCTACACCACTGTACCGCCTATCTACACCACTGTGCCGCCTATCTACACCACTGTACCGCCCATCTACACCACTGTACCGCCTGTCTACACCACTGTACCGCCTATCTACACTACTGTGCCACCAGTCTACACCACTGTACTGCCTATCTACACCACTGTACTGCCTATCTACACCACTGTGCCACCAGTCTACACCACTGTACCGCCCATCTACACCACTGTGCCGCCTGTCTACACCACTGTGCTGCCTATCTAGACCACTGTACCGCCCATCTACACCACTGTGCCGCCTGTCTACACCACGGTGCCGCCCATTGGTTATCTTTCAGCATTGAAAATTCTAACCACGCCCTTATTTTTGTGTGTTCTGGATGACAGTATCCAGAATTTTGTCCGGATCACCACCAGAATGTAATGGGATCCTCCTGGGGCTGAGACGCACCTCTGGTGAAAATTTCAGGTCAATCCGTCTGTAACTTTCTCCGTAAAGTTGTTCACAAACAAACAAATAAACAAACCAACGCTACCATCAACATCATAACCTCCTTGGTGGAGGTGATGATGTTGATGGAGCAGCTCTTCTTCTCTCTTTCCTTCAGTTTCACAGTTTTCAGTGAACATCTGCCTGACTGAGCTCATAAACCTGCACATGCCTGACCCATTATTGAGTGACTCCATCGGTCCATAATAACCTGTTGTTGTTTCCTCACAGTCCTGGTATTTATTTACCCGACAGCTCACATTAAACCTTCACCGGACTGTTTTCAGCTCAGTCTGCCCCACGAAGACCTGAACCTTAACTTGGACATGTTTTCATGTTTCACTTCTCCTATAGCACCAAACAGCTGCAGCCACCAGGGGGCGCTGTGGAGCCGGAGTTCACTGAGAGACACAGGTAGGAAAACCACACACACACACACACACACACACACGAGTCAAGGTGGGACTGTTCCTAAAGGCATGAAAACTGCAGCAGAGAGAGACCATGAGACCCCCTTCCTGAGACCTTCGCCGTCACTGTGAGCCCCGCCCCCTCCCCCGACAGCAGACCCTGTGGGTCCGGATTCCTGTGCTGTGGAGCTCAATGAAAACCAGATGTAGTAAAAACAGGCCGGGCTTCATTCAACAGACGGCGCAGAGGGAGGAGAGGTTCTCACAGCAAACCCTGAAACAATCAGAGCACTTCCTGTTCCTGTGTCACAATAAAAGTCTGAGAGTTTAAAGACTTTCAAAATAAAAGACCTTTAATGTCTAAATCTTTATTCTTAAAGGGATTCAAAGAGAGAAGACGTTAAAATACAAACATCTGCAGGGACAAACTATTCAACAAAAACTGTCACACGATTAAAAAACCGTTGATTTATTTCCCCTCAGTTTGGTCTGACAGGCTGCTGAATTAGAGGAACCTGAGCGGTTTCTATGTGAACAAAAGCTGCTCAGATCTTCTTTCTGCCCCCCACATGAATAATAGAACAGAAACCCGAGTCCTGGTCCTGGTCCTGTCTCTGGATCTGAACCTGCTGAACAGCTGCTCACCCACAGACCCCGCGCCTGCCTCAGGCTGCAGAGGGGACAAAAGACTCGCAGACATTCAAGCACCTGAGACTGGACCACAACGGTTCATGTCTCCATGTGTCTGATGTAAAACCTCAGAGGCTGAAAGTGACGGTGCTAAAAGCTGCAGTTCCTCAACTGTCCACTAGAGGCTGTCTCCAAAAGTGAGTTTTTGTTTCCAGCACACAGGTGAGCTACAGGTGTACGACAACACTAACATTTAAAGGGACATTTCTGCTTTCTAACCCCAGATTTTGGTGGCGGTTTTTACCGTCCGCTAATTCCTACCAGATCCGTTTGTGAGGCGAATTTTGTGGCGGATTACGGATGAAGGTAGAAGTTGGGGGTAAGTGTGTTATCCACGATGGAGGCCACTCAGAATTATCTATACTAGATCAGACTTGACCCCGTCTGTAGACAACTGTAGCCTAGCTCACATGTAGATTCTCCCAGCGGTTCCTCGTTAAAACAAAAATGCTGACGTGTGACTTAGAAAACTGAAGAATCTCTTTATAATAACGGACAGTAGAAATTAAACGCTGAAGTCTGATCAGTTTCAGGATCAGGTTTCTGATTTCTGAGTTCATTCAGGTGAAACTGTCTCACCTGTCTGCCGTCACGCTGAGGTTTACACTCCGACATGTTATCGTGTGTTCGTAAGAGTTTAAAGCCAAAATCACTGTCTGATAATCACCGATATCTAATCAATAATTACTCCTCGTAACACATGTCGACTGAGGCTAATTAAACAGCGTGTTCGGAGTTTAAACACAGAGGTTAGAGCTGAGTAAATCCAGCGTGATGTTCGGTACATCAATCCAGAGTCAGCTGTTCTGGGTCAACAGTGACCCACAGACCGCCCTCAGTGTGTGTGTGTGTGGACACTAAAGGTAAACACTCCCTGGGACACTTGTCCTGTTCACGGTCTGTGTGTAAAGCAGTGAGGAGAACCGGTCCCAGGTGGAGGTAGAGGACCCGGTCAGCGTCTGTCATCGATCTTTGTGTTCATGTTTCTGTGACGCAGTGGAGCGGCGTGGATGTGGATGTTTACATTTTACAGCCAGGCACCGTCTCAAAATTTTAATAACTTTTTCCTCCTGTGTTTGATGATAGAAATTACCTAACAGATGTCTTAAACTCCTCATCATCAGTCTCACATATAAAATCATATTTGGATCAGAACGCTGAGGTAGCTTTCAGTCGCCAAAACGAATCACAAATCCACTCAATGTTGTCAGTATGTGGATCCAAAAACCTGAATTCAGGACCGTGAGGATGGGCCGACACCTTCAGACACTCTCACTTCAAACTTCTCGTCCTTTTTTCCTCTTTTAAAGACTTTTATCTTTTCTTTAGGGTCCAGAGTTTTTTACACTGTTGTCTGCTGCATGTTTGAAGGTGTTGAACGCAGCTTCACTGCTATCACCTTAGATACAGTTTAGTGTTGGGCGGTAGGAACACAATCTTATATCACAGTAATTTCATATCACTTTATCATTTTTTAAAAATAACCAGACTGTCTCATTTGTTCATTTTTAAACTCTGATTTTTATACAAACTAAAGTTCAGTCCAGTCTGCTGATTTTTGATCGTCTCTTTGGTGAAAGACTCTGCCGAGCTCTTAGTTTTTGGTGCAGCAGGTGCGTCGCGCGTCTTTAGGCTCTCATCATAGAGTTCGGCGTGTTTCATCTTTAGGTGGAGGAAGAGGTTGTTGGTGTTTCCTCCTCCAACAACGACAGACACACCACACTCTTTGCGTAGTTTTCTAAATCCGAAGAATCTCTAGACAACCGAAGTCTCGACTCGCGCCCTTTTTCAGAACTAGTCTCTCCTCCTCTTCCTCACGTCGGGTGGGTCGGTCTGCCTCCATTTCCTCTGTACTGACACTAATCTCCACATCCGCCATGACCGCCACCGGTGACGCTGTTTCTTCTTCTTCAAACAGTCTGCTGGACACGCTGGTGAGTGTTTCGGAAACGTAGCCAAACGGACGCGCTCCGACTTTCCTGACGACTACACACTGACTCAGAGAGACGCAGCAGACGTCTGCCCTCTCTCTCTCGACAAAAACGGTCAAACTAAATTTCTACAGGCAGACACGTTCATACCGCCCAACTCTAATAGAGCTCATACTGGTGACTGTTGGATAAGTTTCCGTTTACGACAGCTGACAAAAACGGTCGACATGAGATCAATATCAGATCTAACCTTTCCCATCAGAATCAGGACTTCTTAGCTGCCCTGATAAGAGCAGATGTTTGAGGACAAACAGTCCATCAAATGTCCAAGTTTTCTGCGGTTCGCTCCTTTAAGACTGAAATCCACGTGTGGTTTAATAATCTGATTAATCTCAGACCTGAGGAGGAATGTTACTGCTGCATTTATCACACAGACCTCAGCAATGATCACACTGAAAACAGAGGCAGACACATGAGAGAGCAAACAGCCGCAGAGAGACGATCACAGCAGAAAACAAACCAGGCAGGAGAGCGAGAAGAGGAAGAGGAAGAGGAGGCCATGCAGGAGGAGGAGGAGGAGGAGGAGGAAGCAGAGGTGCCTACCTTAGTACCAACTGTTATATCGTGGTGGACACTGCTGTAAAGAGAAGACAGCGTGTTAGCAGCAGCAGGAGAGAAACTCAAAACAACAAGCAAAATAAAGTTTAAATGAGGTGAAAGAGAGTCTGCCTGAGCAGGCAAGCGCAGGGGAGAAATACCCAGCCTGAGCATACAAGCGCAGAGGAGAAATAACATGCCTAAACAGGCAAGCACAGGGGAGAAATACCCAGCCTGAGCAGGCAAGCGCAGGGGGAAAAATGCCCTCCTGGAGCAGGCGAGCTGAGGGGAGAAAACAGCGAGCAGCTCCAGACGACTCCTGAGAGGAGCCTCAAACTGAGGCGTGAGGCGTTCACTGACATCAGGAAAACACAGTCGGATCTGTTTGATGTCTCATGGAGACTAATGAACACTCTCTGTCCTCTGGTTCAGTTTATCTCAGATTATTGAAAACTAACTCACCTTTAATCACAAAGAAATTAGAAACATTTTCATCCAATCAGAACTCAGAATCGACCTCCCTCTCATCACGCTCACCTGTCCCTCGGCTTTTCAGACACAGATACCCCTGCTCTCCTCTCCTATTTTAAAACAGTCATATTTGTACTTCATTCATATGAAGTTGTTGAAGTTTATTGAGTTTGTAGATTTCAGTCTGTTACAGTTTATGTATAAAGAAGGACCCGAATGATGAACGAATATTAGGGGGGAAAAAATCAGATTACCGATTAATCGGCCGATTTTTTTATGAAGTTATAAAAGTATATATTGTATACTGTAGAGATCTACAGTAAACTATATACGGTCTGGTCCGGTCTCATCTGGAGACATGCAGCTGCCTCCGTCAGAGAAGTCGCTCGATCACTAATGTGTACAGTTGTTTATTCTACCGTTACTGACACGGCTAACAGTGTAGCTAACAGGCTAATAGCAGGTGGCTAACTCTAACTTTAGCTTCATATTACATGGAGCTTCATCGTTAACTCGGCGTGATTTTCAGACTAAAGCCACCTTACGGTCCATCTCCTACAAAATAAAAGCCCTGAATTACAGTCCAACATGACTCAGCGTTTCTCTCTGTTCAAATCATGTTTGTTTGTTTTTCTCCTTTTATTGAAATCTTTGAATCTTTCTGGTTTTAGACCGAAGAGCCTCCAGCAGTCTGATGTCAGGGATCAGATCAGGTCACTGTGACGATGATGACGACGATGATGATGATGATGAAGATCACTTTAGAGCTGGTTACAAATCTGACAGAAGATCTCAGCAGGAAACAGACGCAGCTCCATCTGTGTCCATCAAACACAGACAGAGATTTAAGTCTATTTCCTGTCCGATCCTCCAGCAGCCGCTGAAGAGAACCAGCAACCGACCCGCAAACGCCAACATCATCAAACGGAAACAACCGCAACAACCGCCGACCATGAAAAAACGACCATCGACCTCTGACCAGGTGTGTCACAGAGCTACACGGTCAGAGACAGAAATACATCAGCTGATTTTATCCTTCTACTTCCTGCTGCTGCCATGATGACCTCATCTTTAACTCTCACTCCTGATTGGTTCACAACATGTCCTTTTTAACGAAGACAGGAGGTGATGGTGAGGAGGAGGAGGAGATGAAGGAGGAGATGAAGGAGGAGGCTGCAGGTTTTCTCAGCTCCTCAGAGTTAACAGAAAGTGAAACAGGAATAAAAGGGACCAAAGCAGAAAACACACAAAAATAATAATAATGGATTTAATCAACTCCACACACTAGAGTAGGGACGCACTGATCCCATATTTGGATCGGATATCAGGTCCGATATTGACAAATTAACTGGATCGGATATCTGATGGATGACGCCGATCCAGTCTTTATTTTCATGAGAGTCTTGCTTCTTTTTGCTGTGTGCTAATGTGCGATTTGTTATTTGTTAATTACGGTGGCTGAGAACCGCCACTGCTGCAAATACAAAAGAATGCAAAAAAAAAAAAAACTGAAGTTATCGACGCAAAAAAAGTGGTGATGAAAAAAAAAAAAGTTACTTTCTGTGAAAATAAAAGGATGCAAATAAAAAGAGCCACAAGTGAAGTGAACTGCCGTTATTGTTTAATTTCACTTCATAAACTTTTTAATGTGTCATGTGGTTCGATATGAAGTTGAACTGAAGCTAACACTACAGCGACATCCTCACTCAGGCTCTTCATGGTCGAACCAAACGGCACATTAAAAACTTTACAAAGTGAAATTAAACAAGAACCTTTCCACGAACTTTTTCGCTCGTCTTCTCGCCGTCGTCTTCTGTGCCCAGATCGTAAAACACCTGTGCATCGTCATTATTGGTCCCCGGCAGCTCACTTCTGTTGTGGCTTTTTTTTTTTGTTTGCATCCTTTTATTTTCACAGTAAGTAACTTTTTTTTTTTGCATCATCACTTTTTTTACATCATTAACTTCCATTGTGGGTTTTTTTAATCATCTGCATCGTTTCTTTTTTTATGAACAGCTTCAGTAACTTCCGTGTTGTGGTTTTTTTATTTGCAGCAGTGACATTCTTTTTTTGTTTGTTTGTTTGTTTTTTATTTGCAGCAGTGACATTCTTTTTTTGTTTGTTTGTTTTTTATTTGCAGCAGTGACATTCTTTTTTTGTTTGTTTGTTTTTTATTTGCAGCAGTGACGTTCTTTTTTTTTGTTTGTTTATTTTTTTATTTGCAGCAGTGACATTCTTTTTTTTGTTTGTTTGTTTTTTTATTTGCAGCAGTGACATTCTTTTTTTTTTGTTTGTTTGTTTTTTTATTTGCAGCAGTGACATTCTTTTTTTTTGTTTGTTTGTTTTTTATTTGAAGCAGTGACATTCTTTTTTTTTTGTTTGTTTATTTTTTTATTTGAAGCAGTGACATTCTTTTTTTTTGTTTGTTTTTTATTTGCAGCAGTGACATTCTTTTTTTTGTTTGTTTTTTTTTTATTTGCAGCAGTGACATTCTTTTTTTTGTTTGTTTTTATTTGAAGCAGTGACATTCTTTTTTTTGTTTGTTTGTTTTTTTATTTGCAGCAGTGACACTTTTTTTTTGTTTGTTTGTTTTTTATTTGCAGCAGTGACATTCCTTTTTTTTTTGTTTGTTTTTTTATTTGCAGCAGTGACATTCTTTTTTTTTGTTTGTTTGTTTTTATTTGCAGCTGTGACATTTTTTTTCTGTTTGTTTGTTTTTTTATTTGCAGCAGTGACATTCTTTTTTTTTGTTTGTTTGTTTTTTATTTGCAGCAGTGACATTCTTTTTTTTTGTTTGTTTGTTTTTTATTTGCAGCAGTGACATTCTTTTTTGTTTGTTTGTTTTTTATTTGCAGCAGTGACATTCTTTTTTTTTTTGTTTATTTTTTTATTTGCAGCAGTGACATTCTTTTTTTTTGTTTGTTTGTTTTTTATTTGCAGCAGTGACATTCTTTGTTGTTTGTTTGTTTTTTATTTGCAGCAGTGACGGTTCTCGACCACCGTAGTTAATAAATAATATTAAGAAAAATTAATATCTGTGTTAATAATTTGTTACTTTTTTTTTTAAACAGGGCTAATGTCAAGCCTGATGCCCTTACTCACAGGTTTACGGTTCATTCATTCAACAGTAGTATTGGATCGGTATCGGATATCAGCCGATATCCTCAGCCCAGGTATCAGTATCTGATTGGATCTGAGAAAAATGGGTCGGTGCATCTCTACTCCTGGGTTCATAATTTAACTTATGTGGTTGTGCTGCATGTGTGTGTAGTTTTAAAACATGTCTGCAGATAGATTTGATTCACTTTTAAAGCCAATATCCACTGATCATACCAATATCATGTCGATAACATCGTACACCCACAAAACTAAACCCTGTTAAGTCAAACTTTTATTCCTTCGGCTGTTCACACCGACTTATCGAGCGTTTTCTCGTATTTCTGTGGACTGCCTATAAATCCCTGAAATAAGTACTTCAGGGAACCTTGAGGAGAAAAACAGACTCACAACCGAGTAAACAAACCTCCTAATCTGCACCAACATACAACACACCAATGTGTGACATGTGGACACGAAACATGCGGCAGAGTTGGACCCACAGCGTGAGACGGCGAAGGGAAACGCTGAGACAAAGAGAAACCGGCTGGTCAGGCTGAAGCTGACGTGACTGTACAGACAGTGAAGAGGACCCTCGGGGCGTGAATGAGCCCTGACAAAGCACAAATATTCACAGCAGGAACTCAGACGTCTCACAGTCTGCAGCTCCTCACCGAGGCCACGGCACCATAGTATTCAACTCCACCGAGGAAAAGAGCCCGACGTGTGCAGAGGTGAGCTGAACCTGACTGCAAACATGATCTCTGACAACAAGGAATCAAACAAACACAAGCTCAGACTGGAGAGAGATGTCTGCATTTACAAAAAAAACAGAAACGAACATCCTGAACCGCACAGAGAGCCAGAAAAACAAAACAAGCCGCCTCAAAAACGCATCTGTGAGAAGTTAAAAGGTTGTTTTTTAGGACTGTTTGTAGTTCAGAAGACCAACAGGTGAGATCTCAAACCGATTCACTCCAGAGCGGTCACTTTTTATCGGACCTTCATTCAAACTCTGGAGCAAAAAGTTGAGAAGCTGCTTAAACTCATAATCAAAGACTGCAGGGGTGGAAGAAAAAAAATCCATTCACAGAAGTATTTTTTGTTTTACAATTTTTAAACAGATTTTTATGTTCAAAAATCTTTTTTTTTTTCAAACTTAAGAATAAATCTTAAAAACTGACTTTCATGTCGTGTATTTTTTGGGGAAATTTGGTTCCTGGAATAGTCAGAAAACAATCATAATCATTCAACTGTTTCACTGAAGGTAGAAATGTAAACTGAATATCGAGAAAATCAACAATATCGTAGAATTGCAATGTAAATCGAATCGGCATCCAAAAAACCGTAGAAGAACCGAATCGGGAGAAAAGCATATTATCCCAGCCCTAATAGACTGTATATACTCTGGACAACATGGTTCCACCTCCTGCCAGTATACTGATTTGAATCCGAAGCGGGATTTATGACCTGTACTGCAGCCTGTCACCAGAGGGCGCTGCTCTAGCCCAGCGAGGAGGCGGACGGCGTCTATTCTAGATACAGTCTATGCTCATAATACAGTTTATCAGAGCATGTTGTATTGTCCAGAAGAGGGCGTCTTCTTCGTTACCCAGATTTTATTTTGTTTTAACCATAGCTGAAACTTTCATTATTTTCATTATCATAGGAAACTTGCAGGTTTAAAGCTCCTACCAGGAACTTTCATTTTAGCCAATTTCAGGGCCCCCTTGTGGACAAAGCAGTCACTGCTCATCTTTTTAATCCTGTTGAGTTTTGACTGTCAAATGTACAACCTACACTGTTTTTATATGTGGAGCTGCGATCTTGTTGCTGATGGTCTTGTTTGCTTCATATGTCATTAAAGGCGTCAATATGAGTTTCATTTTTTTTTTCCGGTTCGACTGCAGATTTTAACTATTTGGCTATTTTACCTGTGTGGGGTCTAGCCAATCAGAATGTGCTGTGGTTGGAATATAAAGTGAAACAGAGCGGTGAGTGAAACCTGACCCAGAGGAGAAGACACACCTGCAGCACAGCGCTCGAGCCCACTTTGTTATTCATTGTCCACAAGTCGCTAGAAGTAAACTCCATATCAGATGACCCATCATAAGGTAAATGTTGGCCAAATATCTGCTGACTCTTAAATGAATTTAGAAAATATCAGCAAATGAGATGCAGGTAAAAATCCAATATTGAGCATCCCTGTCATAAACTTAATGAAGATCCATGTGAAACAAATTTTGTCCAGACACAACAAGAAAATCTAGATAAAACTATTTAAATCCTTTAAAATAAAAAAACTGTTTCAGGAATACAGTTTTAATCATACAGTATTTTTCTGCAAACTCGCCAAAAACAGCTGAACCAAACACCGTATAAAACAAATTACAAATTTACAAATGCATGGATCTCTTCCTAATAATCAAAACAAATCCTACTTCTTATATGCTAAGAGAAACGGGAACACACAGACTATAATTCGGCATGCATATAACTTACGGGACACATTAGCTTTTAGTGAAACCAGGCTGTCAATAACTCAGATCTGTTGAAAGCGAGCTTCCACCGAGTCTCAGGTCAGAACTTCATCGCGATTTCGATCAATTCAAACTGATCTGCATAATCAAAACAAACGACCGATCAGAGTGATTCCATTTAACATCTAAAGAATCAACTCACTGAACCCTTCAATTCGGCCAGTGTTTGACACCTGAGTTTCCTTCACCTGAGACAGAATGGAAACTTTTTCACAGACGGTGGGCGTGAGAGCATCGAGCTGCTCTGAACCACATTTCTTCTGCTGCGGACTAACTCGTCGAAAAACAAAATTCTCATACCGTAAAGGTTTTATGTTGAAAAAACAAACACATATTCTCATGTATATGAGGCTACATCTAACCTGCGGGTTTAGTGAATGGAGATTGGTGTGGAGGTGTGCCCGCAGAGAATGGCCCGTTCTAAGGCTAACACTACTGCTAGCTCCCTCAGCTAGCTCAGCTTCCTGCTACAACAAACAACAACTTTACCCGAAGCTGAGCTAACACCAAAAACACCAGTCTCGCTCTGGAATAACCTTTTCTAACGGGGTGCTGGGGTAAAAGCTCGGAGATGCACGTAAAACAATCAGAAAACAAGCTTTGCTGTGAGTGTTGGTGGGATAACTCACCCGTCCATTGCACAACGCGGAACTACGGAGCAACAGGTTTCAGCCCGGGGCCAGCAGGATACCCCAACCACCGCCGCTGCTGCTGCTGCTGCTGGAAACTGACAAAATGGCGTCCTGCCCGAGGAAGGCACCTGATTGGGCGATCAGCGAGGTTTTTGGGCGTTCCCTGCTGAATCGGTGTTCTGATTGGTCAGTTGGGTAAGAAACACAACAACAAAGACAAGCGATTCCAGCGTCGATTGTCTGTGAGGAGGAGATCCACGCCATGATCCACGCCTCCTCCTCCTCCTCCTCCGAGAAGAAACGGTCCAGTTTGTTTTAACCCGGGATAGTGGGCGTTGTCCCGGCCAAACAACAGCCTGTTTCCGCGGCAGAGTCCCGCGTGGGAGGAGGACCACGGAAACCCGTAAACTCTTTTTACCCACTAAACACAATAATACTGAAATAACGGCCGAGAGAGCGTCTGTCTACAGAAGTTAACCGTGTTTTCTCAAGAAAAAAAACTCAGATTTTCTGAATTAAATCAGAATTATAAATAGTTTAATAATCTCCAGGGGGAATGGCTTTTGTCACAGTATTCCAGTGCAAATACAGTAAAAAGAGGAGATAAATAATAGGGAAAATAAGTATAAATAAAGAGATAAAATAAGTTTAAAAAAAGAGATAAATAGATAAAAGAAGTCAAAATAAATAGATAAAATAAGTAAAAATAAAGAGATAATATACAAGTATTTACACTGTATACAACAAAAAAAGTAACCTTTTACGCAATAATGGTGTTATTGTATGCATGAGATATTTATTTCAGAATCATAATCAAATCATACATTTAAAAACAAAGATAATTATCTTTAAAATATCACAGAATTTTTCATGACTGGATATTGTTTCCACCATTTAATAATGATAATAATAATACATTTTATTTGTAGTGCTCTTTACATCAAGAGATCTCAAAGGGCTACATCTTAGAAGCAAAGAAATATCACAGTAAAGAAAAACATAAAAACAGGTTATTGGTTAAAAACAAGAGAAACATCTTATTAAAAGAGTAAAAGCAAGATATGCAAGTTTAAAAAAAAAAAAATCTATGAGGAGGGACCAAAAGTGGGTTGTTAGTGGGTTGTGGTTCCCTCCTCAGGGTGTTGGTGAGGGCGTTCCAAAGGCGTGGGGCAGCGGCCCATATCAACCAGATAAACATCCAGAAATTAAGAGAAAATCAACATGTTAAAGTTTGATACAAAACAGGACATTCAGAAGGAAAGATGTGAAGAGGCTCACCACTCTGTGAGAGACTGCGTGAGCTAACACTTCAACAGTTTCAGAATTTAGTTCCTGAGTGGATTTATCTTTTAATTTTTCTCTTTTCGTATCTATAATACGCTGCTGTAATTTTGGGATTTCCCCCTGTGGGACTAATAAAGGAACATCTTCTTTTGTTCATCGTTTCCAAGCCAAGAGTAAAAAAAAAAAAACAATACAATTAATAAAAATATAATACAATGAAGATAAAGAGCAAAATGTAAACAAAAGAAAAATTAAGGAGGCTGAAATTAGCCCTGTTACACTAAAAGTTTTGTGTGAAAGCAGCACTTTGGTTTTTGTAAATCAATCAATGCATCCTCCAGAGAAAGGAGGAAAAACCTGATCTTATGTTATCTGCTGAAAATGTGACATTCTTCCTGGAAATCATGGATCCTGAATCTTCTGCTCTAAGGAAGGACCATTCGGCTTGTTATCAGTGCAAAATGACAGAGTGGGTGTTCAGTAAAGACTAATAGATCATCAAATAGGTTAAAACCCAAACTCTAAAGCAGTGTCGTGTGAGCGTATTGAACGCCCACCATGTGTCAGTTTTTCCTTCTCTTCATTGTAAACATCCCTCAGTTTGTCCCTGTGACTGGACATCATTTAAGACAGCTGAAAACAATTACAGACCGACAGAAAGCACATAAACTTCTGCGACCAAAGAGCGACAAAAACAGCTTCATTTGGCAGAGCTGCAGATCTGTGAGGCCTCTGCTGTCATTAAAGTTTGTTTTTTAATCTCTGACGGAGGAAAAAGTCTCATTTAAAACCTTGAACGGTAAGGGTTCGCAGATACGACAGTGCTGAGGCTGAGGAGTCAACAGGAAAAGGCCTCCTCCCCCTCCTCCCTCCTTCAGGATCAGGGTTGTTTTGCCCCGGAGGTGTCGTTTGATCTGTGGTCCTCGGCTCTCAGTAAAAGGAGTTTTTGTTTCCTGTGAACTCAGAGCCACATCAGTCAGAGCTCATTAAAGCTCATTAAAGCTCCTCTGAGAGCAGCTGCAGCAGAGCGGGGATCAAACCCGTGAATGATCAGGTACACTACAGCACGGACGCTGCACTGGCTCAATGTTATTATCATATTTACTGAAGGACTGGAGGACTTTGTGCAGAAACTTCATCTTTAAAAAAAGCATCAAAGAGCTCCTGATGGTTCAAACACAGAGTTGGTTTTATGAACACAGCTCTCGTACGGTGAGACACACGGACAGATATGATAAAGTCTATTCTGTCAGATTAGGAGGACAGGCGAGTTTAAAGGGATATTCCGACATGAAATTAATTCAGGGTCAAACCCACCGTAACACCGAGTTAGGACCCCCCCTCCAGAGATGAATGTTGTCGACCGCTTGCTTCTCCAGTTATACCAACTTTAGTAACGACCGCAGGATAGCAATACAGAGAGCCACGCCCCCAACCAAAACGCCACTCTATAGCCACAAATAATGCTCAGAACAGCACCTAACTTCATCAACAGGACATATAGGGTCACAGACATAGTACTAGACACCAAACATCTTTTTAACTTTGACTCATTTCTTTAGCAAAGAGACTAAACACAACTCACCTACTCTCTTCCAGCAGACGCTTGTTTGTAGAGAGACCTCAGGCCAGTCCATTACAGACTACAGCGGGGTGCCGCAGCTCAAGGAAGAACATTTATGATCATTTCTTCATGGAAATACAATCAGACCGAGACGCTAAGACAGAAGAACTACCGCGTCTGTAAAATGATTAATATGATGATTATTACTTCAAGGAAATGATAAAGAAATGATCATAAATGTTCTTCCTGGAGCTGCATCACCCCGCTGTAGTCCGTAATATCCCTGGAATATCCCTTTAACATATTAAACAACACTTAAAATCAGGGTTCGAGTGTTTATTTTCTTAAAATTTGTAAAGCTCTTTGTTCTGAACTGTTTTCTATTAACAGTGCTGTCCAAATTTAGTCTAACTGATCGTTATTTTTTTATTCATATAACCCAGAAGGTTCTGGGGGAAACGCTCCCTTGCTGACTCCTTGTATCTGTGAAACGATGGTGGCCTTAGCATGAAAATTTTCTTTATATACGACTTTAAAATTAGCTCTGATAATAAAATCTAATTTTAAAACATGTTAACTTCAACTCCCTAAACTGTCACACTCCAGGCAGAATTAAAGGAAGTGAACACCTGACAGGTGTGTGTGTGAGTCTGTTGGACTGAGTGTCCTGTGACACGCTGATAAATAATTCGTCCTCATGCTCCTCTCCAGGAGATTACTTTGTGTGTAGGAACATGATCCAGCAGCTCACACATGAATGATTTAACACACACACACACACACACACACACACACACACACACACACACACACACACACACACAATGCTTCTATCAGGAACAAAACTATTATTCCACTTTGTTGTCCTCCAGTGTTTTAGTGTAGAGAGTGTGTTACTTTTTCAGAGATGTAAGTAACTAAAGCGTTTTATTAAAATACAAGACCAACTACATTGATGAAACATTACTGAAGCAGAAGTAGATCTGCTGGAGTGTGAATCTACTCAAATTACATCTATCTTTGCATAAAACTGGACAGCTATTTTTGAGCTAAATAGATTAAAACGAAGCCAGTGAGTCAGAAACAGTCTCTAACCAAACGTACATGAAACAAGACATGATAAAGTAAAGTAAAAACAACGGGTCTACATGGAGATATATTCATTTGAAGAGATAGAAGCAGCACAATCAGTTTTGATTTGATTAAAATTAGCAAAAAGAGCAGTACAAATTATTAGTAGAAGTCAATACAGAGATCCTTCAAACCCATTATCTATTAAATTGCAGTTGTTTTCAGTAGATTTCAGTTTGTTGCAAGATTATGTAAAAAGCTCATAGGAACATGTTACCAGTCAACATCCAGAGCCGATGTTAAAAAAGAGAAAGTTTTTTATCATTTAAAAGGATTTTAAACATTTAAAGAGCAAAGATTGAGAACTAAAGTGAAGGAGCGCTGTGTCACAGAGAGAGGAATCAGTTTGTGGAACAATCTGAACAAAGAAACTAAAGAAGCTAAATCAGATTATATCTTAAAGTGTCAAAGTCAGTATGTCGAGTAAATACAGAGAAATATATTCATCTATGTCTGTGTCTGTTTGTTTAGTGAAAAAATGTGAATTAATGAGGTCTTGTCTGTTTGTTTTTGACAAATAAGAAATAATGAAATGTAAAAAGTTCTTGTTTATTTTTGTTATTATGTGTTTAGTTGATTAATATCTGATGAGAGAGGGGCAAACTCTATGAGTTTTCTTCTTTCTGCTCCTTTAAATCACATGTTTGAGATTTTTCCTTGTTTGTGTTGAATGTTTTAAATATGAACTGAATGAAATAAAGTATGAAAATGGAAATGAATACATGACAAAGTAGAGTAAAATAAAGGGATTACATGGAGATATATAATATTCATTTGAAGAGATAGAAGCAGCACGATCTGTTTTAATTTAATAGAAAAAAAAGACAAATATATAACTTGATAAGGTGTGTTCAATAAGAGTTCCCTTTTCTACTCTGCTCTGAATGCTGTTAACACATGTTTGGTTTTTATAAGCAATAAAAAAGTAGTAAAAAATTTTAAAATAATGATCAAAATAAAACATTTCTATGGATAAGTAATTCCTCCCACGAGTCGTTTCGCTGAAGCTGGACAGAACACAGAAAATACAGTATATTCCTTTAACAGTACCTCTCCTGTCCGGTGGAGGGCGATGTTGTGCTTTAGTCTCTGTAATCTGCCGGTGACGGCACAAAGAGGAGGAGAACAAGACGCAAATCCAGGAGACACGCCATTGGTCAGAATACTTCTCCCGGCGCTTCCTATTGGCTGTCTGCGCCGCCCCGCCAGAGGAGAGTAGAAACAGCGCCATAATTAAACAGCGTCTAACTCCTGTTTTCTTTTGACTCTTTACGATCAAATAAGCGAGAATAACATTTAATTTACCTGAAGAGAATACCTTTACTCGGTTTACGGTGGAGCTGTTTCTCCGATTATTGTCAAAAGACGCGGTTTTATTCCGAATGTTTGTCTGACGGAGAAGATAGATGAGGTCTGACAGGGAAGCTAACGTTAGCAGGAGTTAGCCGGATCAACCGGAGAATCTTCAGGGATTATATCCGACCAACAGAGCTCCTGTGTCGGCCACAGCAGGGATGAGCTGCCCGGTCAACCTCCAGACTCTTCCGTCCGGAGTGTTTGAATCCGTTTTTACCCCGGAAAACATCAGAGGGAGGTGAGTGAACACCATCATCACAGCGGGGTCAGGTTATTACCGCCTCTGTGGGCGTCTCACCTGTCCGCAGGTGAGAGTGAAGCACGTGCGAGGACTGTTCAGGTGTTAATGGGACAACTTAAAGACTCCAGAACCTGGTCTGCTGGGTCTACTGAGGTTTCAGAGGGGTGGGATATGAAGAAAAGCACAAATTTATGAAATAAAACAGGAGTATTTATCAGCTTTATATTTTGATATGTTGTTCAAACTTCTGTCAGGATGGTTGTTCAACGGTTTGAGTTGATCAATATAATGATCAATCACAGTTAGATATTTGGTTTCATGTCATTTTAACGTCATGTAGACTATTAGAGGTCCCTTTTACACCACATCTTCTCTTCTGTTCCAATCCACTTTATTTCTACATCACAGTTTGAAAAAACATTCAAGTTTATTAAAGTGCTGCACAATAAAATTAAAAGAACAGACACTGCAGAAAGCATCAAAAGGAAATAAATAAAAGCAGGTAAAAAACATTTAAAATGAAATAAAAACACAAAAGAAATAAAAGTACAGAGATCACACAACTCTCATTCTGAGCTAAAAGCCGAGGAAAAAAAATGAGTTTAAGACATAATTTAACAGCAGAAAGAGTGGAGGATGTTTTAATCTCTAATGGCAGAGAAAATTCGGTCACCACGGGTTTTTAAACGAGTTTTAGGGACGAGGAGTTGGAGCTGACTCCAGGGAGCATTGAAGAGGTCAGAGATGTACTGGGGTTCTGATCTGTTTAAAGATTTAAAAACAAACAAGATCATATTAAAATGAATTCAAAAATGGACGGGAAGTCAATGGAGGGACGCCAGAATTGTAGTGATGTGGTCATGTTTTGGTTTACCTGTTAGAAGACGAGCAGCAGCATTTTGGATGAACTGTAAGTGTGTGAGAGAAACCTGATTAACACCGACGTAAAGAGCGTTACAGTCGACCAACCAAAGAGTGGAAATAAAAACAGGAATGAGTCACTCGAAAGATCAGATCAAACCGATTTAATCTGGGATAAAAACCTCAGATGATAAAAACTGGATTTAACAACAAAGTTGATTTGTTGGGTTTAATATAAGGTCCAAGAGGGTCCAGCTCCCTGAGAGGGGTCTCCTGGGCCCCACTGGAGCCAGAGATGATTAGGGCCCGAGCGTAGCTGCTAAGCAGCTGCGAGAGCCCTCTTGTTCCTGCATGTTTCCTTCTTTAGGGCCCGAGCGTAGCTGCTAAGCAGCTGCGAGAGCCCTCTTGTTCCTGATGGATTCTTTAGGGCCCGAGCGTAGCTGCTAAGCAGCTGCGAGAGCCCTATTATTCCTGATGGATTCTTCTTTCTTCTTCTTCTTCTTATTATTTTTCTGCCCCTTTGAACTGGAAAATGGCCCACTTCCCACTGGTGAAAACTCATGAAATTTGGCAGGACGACCGGGCCTGGTGAAAAATTCGATATTCTGAAGTCACCCAAACAATCAAATGCAAAATGGCTCCATAGCGCCCCCTAAGGTGAAAAATTCACATGATTGAGTGTCACGCCTGTACGCTTTGTCAAAATGACACAAAATTTGACACACACGTGTATCTCAATAAGATCTACAAAAAAGTCAGTGCGGGCGTATCTGTCAAATGTACGTTTAAAGGGCTATTTCGCATTTTTTGCCGATCCGCACACATTGGAATTTCGCTAACTCCTCCGAAGGCTTTCGTTCCACCGGCACCAAATTTGCTCAGGCCAATCTACACCCCATGGCCATTCAAAGTTGTACAAATCATGACGCTGCACCCCACGGTTTACGTTGTAGGGGGCGCCAAAGATAACCCAAAAATCCACATTCTTACAAGTCTTATAACTTTTTATTTTTGTCCTCACTGGCCTCCAAGTTTTCTAGGATGATGCAATGTCCAGCCATCAACACATTTGTGAAGGAATTTTTACTCCCCAAAAGAGCGCCCCCCATGGCAGGAGAAAAAAGGCCATTTTTTCTTGTCCTATAAGGTGAAAATACACATTGTTGAGTGTCACGCCTGTACGCTTTGTCATATTGAAACAAAATTTGATAATCACGTGTATCTCAATAAGATCTACGAAAAAGTCAATGCGCACGTGTCTGCAAAATGTACGGTTAAAGGGCTATTTCGCATTTTTGGTTGATTCGCACACATTGGAATGTGGCTATCTCCTCCTAAGGCTTTCGTCCCACCGATACCAAATTTGCTCAGGCCAATCTACACCCCATGCCCATTCAAAGTTGTAAAAATCATGACGCTGCACCCCACGGTTTACGTTCTAGGGGGCGCCAAAGATGACCCAAAAATCCACATTCTTAAAAGTCATTTTGGCCACTGCAGGAGTACAGAGTACTGCAGTTCTAGGGGGCGCCAAAGATGACCCAAAAATCCACATTCTTAAAAGTCTTTTTGGCCACTGCAGGAGTACAGAGTACTGCAGGATACACACACATACACACACACACACACACACACACACACACACACACACACACACACACACACACACACACACACACACACTCAGAGTCTGTTTTTTAGCACCTGCAAAAACATGCTGTTTACATATTTGACAAGAATGCAGAGGCTTCCTTTTGCCCCTGAAAAAAATCAGATTTCAAACACAACTTGACTGTTCATTTCTCCAAAAGACAACCATGAAGCTCCATCCAAACCTGAAGCAGATAGTTGGTGCATGTGTACAGTAACCTGAGGAGAGTGAGGTGACTATTTCTGAGGAGAACATGAGCAGTGAAGATTCACCTTGGAGCTAGAACAGGGACGTGCACATGATTATACAGGGGCAGGGGCTCAAGTTTTTTCCAGTCATTTATACAATATGGAAATTAATGTGAAATTAAACCACAAATATGTGTGATGAACTGTTTTTAAAACTTAAACTTCAAATAAAAATTGTAAACTTCAAAATATATACAAATTTTTAACAAAGAACATAGTAATTTACCTCTATTTACATCAAAATGCAGGCAATGGCCCAGGCGTTCTTTGTAAAATTATTTACAAAACACTGTATAGTCTCACAAATGTCACTTTTTATTTATGCCACTACAAAAAAACATGATGTAAATGATGCATGATGTAAAACATGATGTAAAAAACTTGTGTAGATCCTCCTCTATGTCAGTCCATGTGTAATTTTTCCATAATTCTTTGTTTTTTGCAGCATTTTTGTTAGTGTAACTGCAGATTGTGCTGACTGTCTATGGCAAAAAAAAAAAACTGAAAATGCCTCAACATGAACCCCTGGTGGTCTCTGAGGGTGAAACCTGCTAACTGCTGCAGCTCTGTCAGCTTCTGTCTCCCATGCAGAGCTCTGAGCGCATGTGTGGCTCTGCACCCTTAGCAGCGTTGCTAACTCCTCAGTAAGGAAAGCCTGCTTCATGTCAGAGTCTCTAAACTCCAGAAGAAGTCGATAAAAGTCCCTTTCTTTCTAAAAAAAGTCGTTAGGGGGTCTGAAAAGTAATTGAATCTAACAACAAAGTCGCTAGGTTTGCAACTACGTGTCCCAGACTGCATCCCTGCTGAGAGTCCCTCCCTCCCTTCTCATGTTGCAGGAAGAACGTAAGCGCCCGCCCCTTGTCAATCAGTCACCATATAATTTTGGATTGGTTGTTGTGGTGAAGTTTTCCACCAATAGGAGAGATGTTGTGGTGTGTTTTTTTTTTCTTTTGGCAAGCCTTTTCCGCCTGTATGACCTGTCACTAATGTGTGCATGCAATGTTTTCCTGTCTCATACAGCACGATCGAGCGCCGAACGTGATCAAAATAAGCAGAAAAAAAGTATCGCGGACATAATTTATCATAACTCTGGTTTTATTTGGCCTATCAACACAATTTAAAAACTGGTATATAGGTTGAGGTCCTCACTTTTGAGATAAGTTGAAACGGAGAGTTAACGAGGCTCCTTCTTGCAGCTACATCCGGTTAAATATGTCATGTGACTTGAACGCTGGGGAGCGTCAATCGAATCGAATCAAACCTAACTCTCAGATGAATCTTCAAAATTCACCTCAGAAATATGCTTATTATTCTTCTCAGAGTACTGCAGGATACACACACACACACACACACAGACACACACACACACACACTCACACACACACACACACACACACACACACACACACACACACACACACACACACTCAGAGTCTGTTTTTTAGCACCTGCAAAAACATGCTATTTACATATTTGACAAGAATGCAGAGGCTTCCTTTTGCCCCTGAAAAAAATCAGATTTCAAACACAACTTGACTGGTCATTTCTCCAAAAGACAACCATGAAGCTCCATCCAAACCTGAAGCAGGCAGTTGGTGCATGTGTACAGTAACCTGAGGGGAGTGAGGTGACTGCTTCTGAGGAGAACATGAGCACTGAAGATTCACCTTGGAGCTAGAACAGGGACGTGCACATGATAATACAGGGGCAGGGGCTCAAGTTTTTTCCAGTCGTTTATACAATATGGAAATTAATGTGAAATTAAAAAACAAAGTATGACTGTCCTGTGTAGGTGACAGTGATATCCAATAGGCTAGGCACTCACGAGGCTGGCTGTGGCAAGTGTAAGTGAAAGCAACACGCACTGGCAGGAAGAACAGCAAACGCCGATGAAGGAAAAGGGTCTTTGCAGTGATGGGCGTTACCAGAGAGGGTGATGGCCAGAAGACACGAATGGGACGGGGAGGCAGCGCGTTGGGGGGGGGGGGGTGCGACACGGCTCGGGCCCGCCAGTGCCCCAACGGGGCCCTAGTCTTTTGTTATTATTATTATTATTTTTCCTCCGCTTTAAACTGGAAAATGGCCCACTTCCCACTGGCGAAAACTCATGAAATTTGGCAGGACGACCGGGCCTGGTGAAAAATTCGATATTCTGAAGTCACCCAAACAATAAAATGCAAAATGGCTCCATAGCGCCCCCTAAGGTGAAAATTCACACTATTGACTGTCACGCCTGTACGCTTTGTCATATTGACACAAAAATTGACACACACATGTATCTCAATAAGATCTACAAAAAAGTCAGTGCGGGCGTATCTGTCAAATGTACGTTTAAAGGGTTATTTCGCATTTTTTGCCGATCCGCACACATTGGAATTTCGCTAACTCCTCCGAAGGCTTTCGTTCCACCGGCACCACATTTGCTCAGGCCAATCTACACTCCATGGCCATTAAAAGTTGTACAAATCATGACGCTGCACCCCACGGTTTAGGTTCTAGGGGGCGCCAAAGATAACCCAAAAATCCACATTCTTAAAAGTCTTATAACTTTTTATTTTTGTCCTCACTGGCCTCCAAGTTTTCTAGGATGATGCAATGTCCAGCCATCAACACATTTGTGAAGGAATTTTTACTCCCCAAAAGAGCGCCCCCCCATGGCAGGAGAAAAAAGTCATTTTTTTCTTGTCCCATAAGGTGAAAATACACATTGTTGACTGTCACGCCTGTACGCTTTGTCATATTGACAAAAAATTTGACACACACGTGTATCTCAATAAGATCTACGAAAAAGTCAATGCGCGCGTATCTGTAAAATGTACGGTTAAAAGGCTATTTTGCATTTTTTGCCGATTCGCACACATTGGAATGTGGCTAACTCCTCCTAAGGCTTTTGTCCCACTGACACCAAATTTGCTCAGGCCAATCTACACCCCATGGCCATTCAAAGTTGTAAAAATCATGCCGCTGCACCCCATGGTTTACGTTCTAGGGGGCGCCAAAGATGACCCAAATATCCACATTCTTAAAAGTCGTTTTGGCCACTGCAGGAGTACAGAGTACTGCAGGATACACACACACAGACACACACACACACAGACACACACACACGCGCACGCACACACACACACACACACACACACACATACACACTCAGAGTCTGTTTTTCAGCACCTGCAAAAACATGCTATTTACATATTTGACAACAATGCAGAGACTTCCTTTTGCCCCTGAAAAAAATCAAATTTCAAACACAACTTGACTGGTCATTTCTCCAAAAGACAACCATGAAGCTCCATCCAAACCTGAAGCAGGCAGTTGGTGCATGTGTATAGTAACCTGAGGGGAGTGAGGTGACTGCTTCTGAGGAGAACATGAGCAGTGAAGATTCACCTTGGAGCTAGAACAGAGACGTGCACATGATTATACAGGGGCAGGGGCTCAAGTTTTTTCCAGTTGTTTATACAATATGGAAATTAATGTGAAATTAAAAAACAAAGTATTAATAGAAAGGTAATGACTGTCCTGTGTAGGTGACAGTGATATCCAATAGGCTAGGCACTCACGAGGCTGGCTGTGGCAAGTGTAAGTGAAAGCAACACGCACTGGCAGGAAGAACAGCAAACGCCGATGAAGGAAAAGGGTCTTTGCAGTGATGGGCGTTACCAGAGAGGGTGATGGCCAGAGGACACAAATGGGACGGGGAGGCGGTCGCGTTGGGGGGGGGGCGCGACACGGCTCGGGCCCGCCAGTGCCCCAACGGGGCCCTAGTTTGTTATTAGGGCCCGAGCGTAGCTGCTAAGCAGCTGCGAGAGCCCTCTTGTTCCTGTAGTTTCCTTCTTTTGTTATTATTATTATTATTATTTTTCCTCCCCTTTGAACTGGAAAATGGCCCACTTCCCACTGGCGAAAACTCATGAAATTTGGCAGGACGACCGGGCCTGGTGAAAAATTTGATATTCCGAAGTCGCCCAAACAAGAAAATGCAAAATGGCTCCATAGCGCCCCCTAAGGTGAAAATTCACACTATTCACTGTCACGCCGGTACGCTTTGTCAAAATGACACAAAAATTGACACACACATGTATCTCAATAAGATCTACAAAAAAGTCAGTGCGGGCGTATCTGTCAAATGTACGGTTAAAGGGTTATTTCGCATTTTTTGCCGATCCGCACACATTGGAATTTCGCTAACTCCTCCGAAGGCTTTCGTTCCACCGGCACCACATTTGCTCAGGCCAATCTACACCCCATGGCCATTAAAAGTTATTCAAATCATGACGCTGCACCCCACGGTTTAGGTTCTAGGGGGCGCCAAAGATAACCCTAAGATCCACATATTTAAAAGTCTTATAACTTTTTATTTTTGCCCTCACTGGCCTCCAAGTTTTCTAGGATGATGCAATGTCCAGCCATCAACACATTTGTGAAGGAATTTTTACTCCCCAAAAGAGCGCCCCCCCATGGCAGGAGAAAAAAGTCCATTTTTTCTTGTCCCCTAAGGTGAAAATACACATTGTTGAGTGTAACACCTGTACGCTTTGGCAAAATGACACAAAAATTGACACACACATGTATCTCAATAAGATCTACGAAAAAGTCAATGCGCGCGTATCTGTCAAATGTACGGTTAAAGGGTTATTCCGCATTTTTTGCCGATCCGCACACATTGGAATTTCGCTAACTCCTCCGAAGGCTTTCGTTCCACCGGCACCACATTTGCTCAGGCCAATCTACACCCCATGGCCATTAAAAGTTATTCAAATCATGACGCTGCACCCCACGGTTTAGGTTCTAGGGGGCGCCAAAGATAACACTAAAATCCACATATTTAAAAGTCTTATAACTTTTTATTTTTGTCCTCACTGGCCTCCAAGTTTTCTAGGATGATGCAATGTCCAGCCATCAACACATTTGTGAAGGAATTTTTACTCGGCAAAAGAGCGCCCCCCCCATGGCAGGAGAAAAAAGTCAATTTTTTCTTGTCCACTAAGGTGAAAATACACATTGTTGAGTGCTACGCCTGTATGTTTTGTCGTATTGACACAAAATTTTACATACACGTGTATTTACATAAGATCTTCGAAAAAGTCAATGGCCACGTATCTGTAAAATGTACGGTTAAAGGGTTATTTCGCATTTTTTGCAGATTCGCACACATTGGAATTTCGCTAATTCCTCCGAAGGCTTTCGTTCCACCGGCACCACATTTGCTCAGGCCAATCTACACCCCATGGCCATTAAAAGTTATTCAAATCATGACGCTGCACCCCACGGTTTAGGTTCTAGGGGGCGCCAAATATAACCCTAAAATCCACAGTCTTAAAAGGCTTATAACTTTTTATTTTTGTCCTCACTGGCCTCCATGTTTTCTAGGATGATGCAATGTCCAGCCATCAACACATTTGTGAAGGAGTTTTTTCTCTTTAAAAGAGCGCCCCCCCATGGCAGGAGAATAAAGTCAAGTTTTTCCTGTTCATCATTCAATGGCTCAAACGCACTGCTCTTTCGGCAAAAGCGAAAGGAGGAGCAACTTGCCATTTGGATATATCTTAGCTGTGTTTGTGCCCTCACTCATGGTCCAGACTTTTTTCAAATAGGACATGGAGTTTTTCTGCAGCGAGCGTTTTGGTAGAAACTGCGCCTCCCGTTCATTATAATGGTAAATGACCACAAACAAGTGCGCACACCATCTTTGGACCTTGAGTGTGACGCGATCGGGTGGGGGAGGCGGTCGCGCTGGGGGCGGCGTGACACGGCTCGGGCCCGCCAGTGCCCCAACGGGGCCCTAGTTATTATTTTTCCTCCCCTTTGAACTGGAAAATGGCCCACTTCCCACTGGCGAAAACTCATGAAATTTGGCAGGACGACCGGGCCTGGTGAAAAATTTGATATTCCGAAGTCGCCCAAACAAGAAAATGCAAAATGGCTCCATAGCGCCCCCTAAGGTGAAAAATTCACCTGACGCCTGTACGCTTTGTCAAAATGACACAAAAATTGACACACACATGTATCTCAATAAGATCTACAAAAAAGTCAGTGCGGGCGTATCTGTCAAATGTACGGTTAAAGGGTTATTGCGCATTTTTTGCCGATCCGCACACATTGGAATTTCGCTAACTCCTCCGAAGGCTTTCGTTCCACCGGCACCACATTTGCTCAGGCCAATCTACACCCCATGGCCATTAAAAGTTATTCAAATCATGACGCTGCACCCCACGGTTTAGGTTCTAGGGGGCGCCAAAGATAACACTAAAATCCACATATTTAAAAGTCTTATAACTTTTTATTTTTGCCCTCACTGGCCTCCAAGTTTTCTAGGATGATGCAATGTCCAGCCATCAACACATTTGTGAAGGAATTTTTACTCCCCAAAAGAGCGCCCCCCCATGGCAGGAGAAAAAAGTCCATTTTTTCTTGTCCCCTAAGGTGAAAATTCACATTGTTGAGTGTCACGCCTGTACGCTTTGTCAAAATGACACAAAAATTGACACACACATGTATCTCAATAAGATCTACAAAAAAGTCAATGGGCGCGTATCTGTCAAATGTACGGTTAAAGGGTTACTCCGCATTTTTTGCCGATTCGCACACATTGGAATTTCGCTAACTCCTCCGAAGGCTTTCGTTCCACCGGCACCACATTTGCTCAGGCCAATCTACACCCCATGGCCATTAAAAGTTATTCAAATCATGACGCTGCACCCCACGGTTTACGTTCTAGGGGGCGCCAAAGATAACCCAAAAATCCAAATTTTTAAAAGTCTTATAACTTTTTATTTTTGTCCTCACTGGCCTCCAAGTTTTCTAGGATGATGCAATGTCCAGCCATCAACACATTTGTGAAGGAATTTTTACTCCCTAAAAGAGCGCCCCCCATGGCAGGAGAAAAAAGTCCATTTTTTCTTGTCCCCTAAGGTGAAAATACACATTGTTGAGTGTAACACCTGTACGCTTTGGCAAAATGACACAAAAATTGACACACACATGTATCTCAATAAGATCTACGAAAAAGTCAATGCGCGCGTATCTGTCAAATGTACGGTTAAAGGGTTATTCCGCATTTTTTGCCGATCCGCACACATTGGAATTTCGCTAACTCCTCCGAAGGCTTTCGTTCCACCGGCACCACATTTGCTCAGGCCAATCTACACCCCATGGCCATTAAAAGTTATTCAAATCATGACGCTGCACCCCACGGTTTAGGTTCTAGGGGGCGCCAAAGATAACACTAAAATCCACATATTTAAAAGTCTTATAACTTTTTATTTTTGTCCTCACTGGCCTCCAAGTTTTCTAGGATGATGCAATGTCCAGCCATCAACACATTTGTGAAGGAATTTTTACTCCCCAAAAGAGCGCCCCCCCATGGCAGGAGAAAAAAGTCAATTTTTTCTTGTCCCCTAAGGTGGAAATTCACACTATTGACTGTCACGCCTGTACGCTTTATCATATTGACACAAAAATTGACACACATATGTATCTCAATAAGATCTACAAAAAAGTCAATGCGCGCGTATCTGTCAAATGTACGGTTAAAGGGCTATTTTGCATTTTTTGCCGATTCGCACACATTGGAATGTGGCTAACTCCTCCTAAGGCTTTCGTCCCACTGACACCAAATTTGCTCAGGCCAATCTACACCCCATGGCCATTCAAAGTTGTAAAAATCATGACGCTGCACCCCACGGTTTACGTTCTAGGGGGCGCCAAAGATGACCCAAAAATCCACATTCTTAAAGGAATCCACATCCCCCCCAAGGCAGGAGAAAAAGTCAAGTTAACCCTGCCCATCGCTCAATGGCTCAATCGCATCGCTCTCCAGGCAACACCGTAAGGAGGAGCAACCTGCCATTTCGATATATCATAGCTGTGTTTGTGCCCTCACTCATGGTCCAGACTTTTTTCAAATAGGACATGAAGTTTGTCTGCAGCGAGTGTTTTGGTAGAAACTGCGCCTCCCATTCATTATAATGGGAAATGACCACAGACAAGTGCGCACACCATCTTTGGACCTTGAGTGTGACGCGATCGGGAGGGGGAGGCGGTCGCGCTAGGGGCGGCGCGACGCGGCTCGGGCCCGACAGTGCCCCACCGGGGCCCTAGTTTGTTATTATTAGGGCCCGAGCCAGCTGCAGAGCAGCCGGGCGTAGGCCCTATTATTCCCCAAGTGGTTTTTCTTTGTTTCTTTCTTTCTTTAGGGCCCGAGCGTAGCTGCTAAGCAGCTGCGAGAGCCCTCTTGTTCCTGCATGTTTCCTTCTTTTTAGGGCCCGAGCGTAGCTGCTAAGCAGCTGCGAGAGCCCTCTTGTTCCTGTAGTTTCCTTCTTTTGTTATTATTATTATTATTATTTTTCCTCCCCTTTGAACTGGAAAATGGCCCACTTCCCACTGGCGAAAACTCATGAAATTTGGCAGGACGACCGGGCCTGGTGAAAAATTTGATATTCCGAAGTCGCCCAAACAAGAAAATGCAAAATGGCTCCATAGCGCCCCCTAAGGTGAAAATTCACACTATTCACTGTCACGCCTGTACGCTTTGTCAAAATGACACAAAAATTGACACACACATGTATCTCAATAAGATCTACAAAAAAGTCAGTGCGGGCGTATCTGTCAAATGTACGTTTAAAGGGTTATTTCGCATTTTTTGCCGATCCGCACACATTGGAATTTCGCTAACTCCTCCGAAGGCTTTCGTTCCACCGGCACCACATTTGCTCAGGCCAATCTACACCCCATGGCCATTAAAAGTTATTCAAATCATGACGCTGCACCCCACGGTTTAGGTTCTAGGGGGCGCCAAAGATAACCCTAAGATCCACATATTTAAAAGTCTTATAACTTTTTATTTTTGCCCTCACTGGCCTCCAAGTTTTCTAGGATGATGCAATGTCCAGCCATCAACACATTTGTGAAGGAATTTTTACTCCCCAAAAGAGCGCCCCCCATGGCAGGAGAAAAAAGTCCATTTTTTCTTGTCCCCTAAGGTGAAAATACACATTGTTGAGTGTAACACCTGTACGCTTTGGCAAAATGACACCAAAATTGAGACACACATGTATCTCAATAAGATCTACAAAAAAGTCAATGCGCACGTATCTGTCAAATGTACGGTTAAAGGGTTATTCCGCATTTTTTGCCGATCCGCACACATTGGAATTTCGCTAACTCCTCCGAAGGCTTTCGTTCCACCGGCACCACATTTTCTCAGGCCAATCTACACCCCATGGCCATTAAAAGTTATTCAAATCATGACGCTGCACCCCACGGTTTAGGTTCTAGGGGGCGCCAAAGATAACCGTAAAATCCACATATTTAAAAGTCTTATAACTTTTTATTTTTGTCCCCACTGGCCTCCAAGTTTTCTAGGATGATGCAATGTCCAGCCATCAACACATTTGTGAAGGAATTTTTACTCGCCAAAAGAGCGCCCCCCATGGCAGGAGAAAAAAGTCCATTTTTTCTTGTCCACTAAGGTGAAAATACACATTGTTGAGTGCTACGCCTGTATGTTTTGTCGTATTGACACAAAATTTTACATACACGTGTCTTTCAATAAGATCTTCGAAAAAGTCAATGGCCACGTATCTGTAAAATGTACGGTTAAAGGGTTATTTCGCATTTTTTGCAGATTCGCACACATTGGAATTTCGCTAACTCCTCCGAAGGCTTTCGTTCCACCGGCACCACATTTGCTCAGGCCAATCTACACCCCATGGCCATTAAAAGTTATTCAAATCATGACGCTGCACCCCACGGTTTAGGTTCTAGGGGGCGCCAAAGATAACCCTAAAATCCACATATTTAAAAGTCTTATAACTTTTTATTTTTGTCCTCACTGGCCTCCATGTTTTCTAGGATGATGCAATGTCCAGCCATCAACACATTTGTGAAGGAGTTTTTCTCGTTAAAAGAGCGCCCCCCCATGGCAGGAGAATAAAGTCAAGTTTTTCCTGTTCATCATTCAATGGCTCAAACGCACTGCTCTCTCGGCAAAAGCGAAAGGAGGAGCAACTTGCCATTTGGATATATCTTAGCTGTGTTTGTGCCCTCACTCATGGTCCAGACTTTTTTCAAATAGGACATGGACTTTTTCTGCAGCGAGCGTTTTGGTAGAAACTGCGCCTCCCGTTCATTTTAATGGTAAATGACCACAAACAAGTGCGCACACCATCTTTGGACCTTGAGTGTGACGCGATCGGGTGGGGGAGGCGGTCGTGCTGGGGGCGGCGTGACACGGCTCGGGCCCGCCAGTGCCCCAACGGGGCCCTAGTTTGTTATTATTATTATTTTTCCTCCCCTTTGAACTGGAAAATGGCCCACTTCCCACTGGCGAAAACTCATGAAATTTGGCAGGACGACCGGGCCTGGTGAAAAATTTGATATTCCGAAGTCGCCCAAACAAGAAAATGCAAAATGGCTCCATAGCGCCCCCTAAGGTGAAAATTCACACTATTGACTGTCACGCGTGTACGCTTTGTCAAAATGACACAAAAATTGACACACACATGTATCTCAATAAGATCTACAAAAAAGTCAGTGCGGGCGTATCTGTCAAATGTACGGTTAAAGGGTTATTTCGCATTTTTTGCCGATCCGCACACATTGGAATTTCGCTAACTCCTCCGAAGGCTTTCGTTCCACCGGCACCACATTTGCTCAGGCCAATCTACACCCCATGGCCATTAAAAGTTATTCAAATCATGAGGCTGCACTTCACGGTTTAGGTTGTAGGGGGCGCCAAAGATAACCCTAAGATCCACATATTTAAAAGTCTTATAACTTTTTATTTTTGCCCTCACTGGCCTCCAAGTTTTCTAGGATGATGCAATGTCCAGCCATCAACACATTTGTGAAGGAATTTTTACTCCCCAAAAGAGCGCCCCCCCATGGCAGGAGAAAAAAGTCCATTTTTTCTTGTCCCCTAAGGTGAAAATACACATTGTTGAGTGTAACACCTGTACGCTTTGGCAAAATGACACAAAAATTGACACACACATGTATCTCAATAAGATCTACGAAAAAGTCAATGCGCGCGTATCTGTCAAATGTACGGTTAAAGGGTTATTCCGCATTTTTTGCCGATGCGCACACATTGGAATTTCGCTAACTCCTCCGAAGGCTTTCGTTCCACCGGCACCACATTTGCTCAGGCCAATCTACACCCCATGGCCATTAAAAGTTATTCAAATCATGACGCTGCACCCCACGGTTTAGGTTCTAGGGGGCGCCAAAGATAACCCTAAAATCCACATATTTAAAAGTCTTATAACTTTTTATTTTTGTCCTCACTGGCCTCCAAGTTTTCTAGGATGATGCAATGTCCAGCCATCAACACATTTGTGAAGGAATTTTTACTCCCCAAAAGAGCGCCCCCCCATGGCAGGAGAAAAAAGTCCATTTTTTCTTGTCCCCTAAGGTGGAAATTCACACTATTGACTGTCACGCCTGTACGCTTTATCATATTGACACAAAAATTGACACACATATGTATCTCAATAAGATCTACAAAAAAGTCAATTCGCGCGTATCTGTCAAATGTACGGTTAAAGGGCTATTTTGCATTTTTTGCCGATTCGCACACATTGGAATGTGGCTAACTCCTCCTAAGGCTTTCGTCCCACTGACACCAAATTTGCTCAGGCCAATCTACACCCCATGGCCATTCAAAGTTGTAAAAATCATGACGCTGCACCCCACGGTTTACGTTCTAGGGGGCGCCAAAGATGACCCAAAAATCCACATTCTTAAAGGAATCCACATCCCCCCCCCCAGGCAGGAGAAAAAGTCAAGTTAACCCTGCCCATCGCTCAATGGCTCAATCGCATCGCTCTCCAGGCAACACCGTAAGGAGGAGCAACCTGCCATTTCGATATATCATAGCTGTGTTTGTGCCCTCACTCATGGTCCAGACTTTTTTACATAGGACATGAAGTTTGTCTGCAGCGAGTGTTTTGGTAGAAACTGCGCCTCCCATTCATTATAATGGGAAATGACCACAGACAAGTGCGCACACCATCTTTGGACCTTGAGTGTGACGCGATCGGGAGGGGGAGGCGGTCGCGCTGGGGGCGGCGCGACGCGGCTCGGGCCCGACAGTGCCCCACCGGGGCCCTAGTTCTTTCTTTCTTTCTTCTTTTTCCTCCCCTTTGAACTGGAAAATGGCCCACTTCCCACTGGCGAAAACTCATGAAATTTGGCAGGACGACCGGGCCTGGTGAAAAATTCGATATTCTGAAGTCGCCCAAACAATAAAATGCAAAATGGCTCCATAGCGCCCCCTAAGGTGGAAATTCACACTATTGACTGTCACGCCTGTACGCTTTGTCATATTGACACAAAAATTGACACACATATGTATCTCAATAAGATCTACAAAAAAGTCAGTGCGGGCGTATCTGTCAAATGTACGGTTAAAGGGTTATTTCGCATTTTTTGCCGATCCGCACACATTGGAATTTCGCTAACTCCTCCGAAGGCTTTCGTTCCACCGGCACCACATTTGCTCAGGCCAATCTACACCCCGTGGCCATTAAAAGTTATCAAAATCATGACGCTGCACCCCACGGTTTAGGTTCTAGGGGGCGCCAAAGATAACACTAAAATCCACATATTTAAAAGTCTTATAACTTTTTATTTTTGTCCTCACTGGCCTCCAAGTTTTCTAGGATGATGCAATGTCCAGCCATCAACACATTTGTGAAGGAATTTTTACTCCCCAAAAGAGCGCCCCCCCATGGCAGGAGAAAAAAGTCCATTTTTTCTTGTCCCCTAAGGTGAAAATACACATTGTTGAGTGTCACGCCTATACGCTTTGTCAAAATGACACAAAAATTGACACACACATGTAACTCAATAAGATCTACGAAAAAGTCAATGCGCGCGTATCTGTCAAATGTACGGTTAAAGGGTTATTCCGCATTTTTTGCCGATCCGCACACATTGGAATGTGGCTAACTCCTCCTAAGGCTTTCGTTCCACCGGCACCACATTTGCTCAGGACAATCTACACCCCATGGCCATTAAAAGTTATTCAAATCATGACGCTGCACCCCACGGTTTAGGTTCTAGGGGGCGCCAAAGATAACCCTAAGATCCACATATTTAAAAGTCTTATAACTTTTTATTTTTGCCCTCACTGGCCTCCAAGTTTTCTAGGATGATGCAATGTCCAGCCATCAACACATTTGTGAAGGAATTTTTACTCCCCAAAAGAGCGCCCCCCATGGCAGGAGAAAAAAGTCCATTTTTTCTTGTCCCCTAAGGTGAAAATACACATTGTTGAGTGTAACACCTGTACGCTTTGGCAAAATGACACAAAAATTGACACACACATGTATCTCAATAAGATCTACGAAAAAGTCAATGCGCGCGTATCTGTCAAATGTACGGTTAAAGGGTTATTCCGCATTTTTTGCCGATCCGCACACATTGGAATTTCGCTAACTCCTCCGAAGGCTTTCGTTCCACCGGCACCACATTTGCTCAGGCCAATCTACACCCCATGGCCATTAAAAGTTATTCAAATCATGACGCTGCACCCCACGGTTTAGGTTCTAGGGGGCGCCAAAGATAACCCTAAAATCCACATATTTAAAAGTCTTATAACTTTTTATTTTTGTCCTCACTGGCCTCCAAGTTTTCTAGGATGATGCAATGTCCAGCCATCAACACATTTGTGAAGGAATTTTTACTCCCCAAAAGAGCGCCCCCCCATGGCAGGAGAAAAAAGTCAATTTTTTCTTGTCCCCTAAGGTGGAAATTCACACTATTGACTGTCACGCCTGTACGCTTTATCATATTGACACAAAATTTGACAATCACATGTATCTCAATAAGATCTACAAAAAAGTCAATGCGCGCGTATCTGTCAAATGTACGGTTAAAGGGCTATTTTGCATTTTTTGCCGATTCGCACACATTGGAATGTGGCTAACTCCTCCTAAGGCTTTCGTCCCACTGACACCAAATTTGCTCAGGCCAATCTACACCCCATGGTCATTCAAATTTGTAAAAATCATGACGCTGCACCCCACGGTTTACGTTCTAGGGGGCGCCAAAGATGACCCAAATATCCACATTCTTAAAAGAATCCACATCCCCCCCCCCCATCCCCCAACCCCCATGGCAGGAGAAACAGTCAAGTTTTTCCTGCCCATCACTCAATGGCTCAATCGCATCACTCTCCCGGCAACACCGTAACAAGGAGCAACTTGCCGTTTGGATATATCCTAGCTGTGTTTGTGCCCTCACTCATGGTCCAGACTTTTTTCAAATAGGACATGTAGTTTGTCTGCAGCGAGTGTTTTGGTAGAAACTGCGCCTCCCATTCATTATAATGGGAAATGACCACAGACAAGTGCGCACACCATCTTTGGACCTTGAGTGTGACGCGATCGGGAGGGGGAGGCGGTCGCGCTGGGGGCGGCGCAACGCGGCTCGGGCCCGACAGTGCCCCACCGGGGCCCTAGTTTGTTATTATTATTTTTCCTCCCCTTTGAACTGGAAAATGGCCCACTTCCCACTGGCGAAAACTCATGAAATTTGGCAGGACGACCGGGCCTGGTGAAAAATTTGATATTCCGAAGTCGCCCAAACAAGAAAATGCAAAATGGCTCCATAGCGCCCCCTAAGGTGAAAATTCACACTATTGACTGTCACGCCTGTACGCTTTGTCAAAATGACACAAAAATTGACACACACATGTATCTCAATAAGATCTACAAAAAAGTCAGTGCGGGCGTATCTGTCAAATGTACGGTTAAAGGGTTATTTCGCATTTTTTGCCGATCCGCACACATTGGAATTTCGCTAACTCCTCCGAAGGCTTTCGTTCCACCGGCACCACATTTGCTCAGGCCAATCTACACCCCATGGCCATTAAAAGTTATTCAAATCATGACGCTGCACCCCACGGTTTAGGTTCTAGGGGGCGCCAAAGATAACCCTAAGATCCACATATTTAAAAGTCTTATAACTTTTTATTTTTGCCCTCACTGGCCTCCAAGTTTTCTAGGATGATGCAATGTCCAGCCATCAACACATTTGTGAAGGAATTTTTACTCCCCAAAAGAGCGCCCCCCCATGGCAGGAGAAAAAAGTCCATTTTTTCTTGTCCCCTAAGGTGAAAATACACATTGTTGAGTGTAACACCTGTACGCTTTGGCAAAATGACACAAAAATTGACACACACATGTATCTCAATAAGATCTACGAAAAAGTCAATGCGCGCGTATCTGTCAAATGTACGGTTAAAGGGTTATTCCGCATTTTTTGCCGATCCGCACACATTGGAATTTCGCTAACTCCTCCGAAGGCTTTCGTTCCACCGGCACCACATTTGCTCAGGCCAATCTACACCCCATGGCCATTAAAAGTTATTCAAATCATGACGCTGCACCCCACGGTTTAGGTTCTAGGGGGCGCCAAAGATAACCCTAAAATCCACATATTTAAAAGTCTTATAACTTTTTATTTTTGTCCTCACTGGCCTCCAAGTTTTCTAGGATGATGCAATGTCCAGCCATCAACACATTTGTGAAGGAATTTTTACTCCCCAAAAGAGCGCCCCCCCATGGCAGGAGAAAAAAGTCAATTTTTTCTTGTCCCCTAAGGTGGAAATTCACACTATTGACTGTCACGCCTGTACGCTTTATCATATTGACACAAAATTTGACAATCACATGTATCTCAATAAGATCTACAAAAAAGTCAATGCGCGCGTATCTGTCAAATGTACGGTTAAAGGGCTATTTTGCATTTTTTGCCGATTCGCACACATTGGAATGTGGCTAACTCCTCCTAAGGCTTTCGTCCCACTGACACCAAATTTGCTCAGGCCAATCTACACCCCATGGTCATTCAAAGTTGTAAAAATCATGACGCTGCACCCCACGGTTTACGTTCTAGGGGGCGCCAAAGATGACCCAAATATCCACATTCTTAAAAGAATCCACATCCCCCCCCCCCCCCCCATCCCCCAACCCCCATGGCAGGAGAAACAGTCAAGTTTTTCCTGCCCATCACTCAATGGCTCAATCGCATCACTCTCCCGGCAACACCGTAACAAGGAGCAACTTGCCGTTTGGATATATCCTAGCTGTGTTTGTGCCCTCACTCATGGTCCAGACTTTTTTCAAATAGGACATGTAGTTTGTCTGCAGCGAGTGTTTTGGTAGAAACTGCGCCTCCCATTCATTATAATGGGAAATGACCACAGACAAGTGCGCACACCATCTTTGGACCTTGAGTGTGACGCGATCGGGAGGGGGAGGCGGTCGCGCTGGGGGCGGCGCAACGCGGCTCGGGCCCGACAGTGCCCCACCGGGGCCCTAGTTAATTCTGTTTTCTTTTCATTGAAATTTAAAAAACTTGAGGCCATCCAGACTTTTTTGTCTTTAAAACAATCTAGCAAACGTTTTAGAGAGCTACCAACATTTGTCTTTCTTGGGAGGATCTGAGTGTTGTCTGCATACAGATGGTCAGATATACCGAGAGGGAGGAGATATAGGGAGAACAGGATGGGACCAAGAATAGAGCCTTGGGGTACTCCACAAGAAAGGGGGGCACAAGAAGAGACTAGTCACCAACTTTCACTTTAAAACAGACAAGTCGGACCTGAACCAGTTAAGAGCTGTACCTGTTGTTTCTGAACAGAGCCCAGATGAACTCCTTCACCCCGCTGAGTTTCCCCAAGTCCAGATCAGCTCTGTGGGATGGCAGCCCGACAGGAGAGACCCTCAGTCTGCAGCTCTGTGCTCACAGGTACAAACTAAAGCTGTGATCATGTGTGAACTAAACTTTAGATCAGAGGAAATATTCAGAGTAAACTGCATGAACACGAACAGGAGAACGAACGAACGAACCTTAGAGGTGTGTGTGTGTGTGTGTGTGTGTGTGTGTGTGTGTGTGTGTGTGTGTGTGTGTGTGTGTGTGTGTGTGTGCAGAAAGCCTCGCCTGGTGCTGATGGAGAAAGCTTTGCGTCTGGCTCAGCGCCACGCTCGTCAGAGCAACAAGCCCCGCCTACTCTGCTTCTTCCTGGGATCAGTGTCTGTGGATGCAGGTCAGAGGTCACCACCAGCCCTGATGGTCGCTGTTTGTCTGCCATTGTTCCGTTGTGGTTACTCCTGTCCTCTCTCTCTGTGTGTTTCCAGATGAAGAAGGGGTCACACTGACTCTGGACCGGTTCGATCCGGGTCGGGACCAGGCTGGATCTTCAGGGAGGGTACCTTCTGCTCTGCTGCCGGGAGACGTCCTGGTTCCATGTTTGTTCTCCTCACAGAACGAGACGTCTGATTCTGTCGTCCAATCAGAGGCTGAGCTGCACCAAACCTTCAAGGTGAGTGCCACACCTGAAGCTCCGCCCCTAAAACTGGTCCTCAGGTGTCAATATCTGATATTTAGGTTTTTCTGTCTGTGTGTGTGTGTGTGTGCGCGCCAGGCGTTGCAGCAGTGTGTGAGCAGCAGCAGACACCCTCTGGATCTGAGTCAGCTGATAAAGGTCAGAGGTCACGTGGTCTGCTCTCATCAGTCTGACGCTGCAGTTTTCAGTCTCAGCTGGTCGTCCGTCTCTCCGTCTGTCGCTGTGGTTGTTCAGCCAGTCCGGTCCGTCCCTGTCATCCCCACCGCTCTGCTGAGGAGTCTGACCAGCATCAACAGACCGCTACCGCACGCCGCCAACCGACAGAGAGGGTAAGAGCGAGTCTCCCTCTCATTTTGGACGAGTCTGATGGACGTGGGTCAGGTCTGAGCTGAGTGGTTTTGTTTGCAGGTTTCTGACCATGGACCAGACTAGGAAACTTCTTCTGCTGCTGGAGTCTGACCCTAAAGTCTCCACGCTGCCGCTGGTCGGACTGTGAGTCGACGTTTAGGATTAAAAGAGACGCTCAGGAGGTCACCACGAAATACTTCAACGTCACAGTTTCAGACTCTAACTCTGCTCTCCTGTCTCGTCACAGCTGGCTGAGTGGAGTCACACACATCTACAACCCTCAGGTGTGGGCGTGGTGTCTAAGGTTCCTGTTCAGCTCCTCCCTCCAGGACAGGTGCGTCCCCTCACCACCTAATAATAATAATAATGTTTTATTTATATTGCACTTTACATCTCTGGATTTACCGGTCGATCTACGTGCCGACCCTCACCTATGGCCATGAACTTTGGGTAATGAGACCTTGTGGCCGGCCTGAGACCAGGTGGAGGGATTATATCTCTCGCCTGGCCTGGGAGCGCCTGGGAATCCACCCTGGAGGAGCTGGTGGAAATGGCTGGGGTGAGGGCGGTCTGGGCTTCCCTCCTGAAGCTGCTGCCCCCGCGACCCGGACCCGGATGAAGCGGAAGAAGACGTTGACGTTTGCGTTGAAGTTAAAGGACAACTGGACTTACTTGTTTTGACCTGTTTGTTTACCTTCGATTGGTGGATACGGCCTTTTCGTAGACGTTCAGGATGCGGTGGATATTGGGGGTGAACCTGAGTCAGTAGCCACGTTTACATGCAGACTTTTTTCTCATTCGGATTATAATCATTTCGATTGAAGCTCCCAGGCGAACTGTTTACATGGAAGCGATCTATTCTGATCTGGTGTTTACATGTGCCACGGCATTCAATCGGAACAGCTATTTACAGACACGTGATACCTTCAAACATCACGTGATTGATCAAAGATGGAGGTCTTTCGTCTGTTAAGCAGAGTAGTAGCGATTGTTTTTTCACTTTTATTAAAGCAACAGCTTGCCACCAACGCGCTCTTACTGGACGCACTACAGAGGAGAAGACGTGAAGAAGAAGCCTTTATTGTTAGTGCTGTGCAATGTTTGCCCGCTCTGCCCATGCCTTTGTATCAAAAACAAACTCTCCGACGCAGACCAGTGCATCGTGCTCTGCTTGGAAGCCGCCATCATGTTTCCATGTGAGTCATACGTCACTGCTTGTTTACATCAGGACAGAGCATGCGCAGACAGAACCCAGCCTGACAACTTTCTGATTCACCGTTTACATGACAGGATTTTGCTTTTAATCGGAATGGGAAAAGGAATATTCTACCCCTGTGAATCGGAATGAAATTCCATTCGGAATGGGCCTGTTTATTCCGAATGAGGTGTTTATATGGAGCATTTTCATTCTGATTGGGCTTCTAATCCAATTATATTTGGAATATTTGGCTCCATGTAAACGTAGCTACTGAAGACTATCAGAGTCCAGATTTACGGACTTCCCTGAAGCTGCTGCCCCCAGGACCCGAACCCGGATGAATCGGAAGAAAATGACGACACCGAAAACAGATCTCAAAGTGCATGCAGTGGAGCTCTGAGTTGGTCAGGAAGGGCGTTCCACAGACGGGCAGCCTCAAAGGCCTTGTCCCCCATTGTCTTGAGCTGAGTCCTGGGCGGGTGCAGACGGTGCATTTGGCCTGACCGGGTTCTAGCTAAGGTGTGTGGGGTGAGGAGTTCAGTGAGGCAGGTGGGGGCTGATTTTGAATCCGATGTGGAGGTGGACGGGGAGCCAGTGCAGAGTGCGAAGGATGGGGGTGATGTGCTAAGGACCCTGGCAGCGCTGTTTTGAAAATGCTGGAGCTTTTGGAAGTTCTTGTCAGGGATCCCAATGAGGAGTGTGTGCAGTAGTCAAGCCTGGAGGAAACAAAGGCGTGGACGAGCTTCTCAGCAGCAGAGCAGGCGAGAGATGGATGGAGTTTGGCGATGTTATGGAGACATGATTGATGTGGGTGTCAAAGCTAAGATGGGGGTCAAACCTGACTCCCAGATTAGCCGTGGAAGGAGAGAGAGGGAGAGGTTGTGGCCGAGAAAGGAAACGCAGGAAATTGGTGAGGAACGGAGCTGGTGAAGGGTACCCGTGTGAGTGGCTTCTGTTTTTGAGGTGTTCAGCTGTAAAAAGTTTTCGGTCATCCACGCCAGGAGTGGAGGTGGGAGGGACCTTGAGGTAGAGCTGTGTGTCGTTGGAATCGTATTCCATGCTAGCTGACGACACAACTGAGAGGGAGCATGTAGATGGGGAAGAGGGTTGGACCGAGCACAGAGCTCTGGGGGACCCCACAGGTGGCGGTGTGGAGGTGGAACTTGGCGTCTCCCAGGGCTACAAACTCGGTCCTTCCTGTGAGGTATGAATGGAACCATTTCAGGGCGGTGCCAGAAATGCCGATGTTGTGTTGGAGGCGGTGAAGGAGGATGTGATGACCTGTCCAGATCATGTCCGCTCTGTCCTCTTCTGTCTCTGACGTTCCTCTTCCTCCTGTTTTCAGAGTTTTTTCAGAGAGCAGCTGTTTCCTCCTCGTCCTGTTCGGCTCCACACACAGAGCTCCTCAGTTCTTCCAGTGTCGAGGATCAGGATCGGGTCTACAGCTGGACTACCAGCTACTCACCACCTCCCAGTCTGTCACGCTGTACCAGGTAACGGCACACCTGACAGGTACAGCAGTGAAGAAGTGCTGTCCTCTGATGTGGACTAACAGGTTTTCTTGTCCCAGCAGCAGGCGGTCTGTGCGGAGGGTCAGACTCTGAGGTGTGATCTGGGTTCAGAGGATCTCAGCAGACAGACTCAGGTGTTCAGAGACGCCCTGAGATCCTTCAACAGGTAACAGTTTATGGATTAAAGGGGCAGTACGGCATTTAGACTGGAACCCTGATCAAACTATATAAACAAAGTCTGGAACCCTGAGTCCTGACCTTGACCCTCCTCCGTGTCCTCAGGGTCGTCCCTCCAGCTGCTGGTCTGTCCATCAGTGACCAGGACTCTGGAGTCGAGGATGAAGACCTGTCTCCTAGACCGTCTCCGAGTCCCCACCCCCCAGCCCAGCAGGTGAGTCACAGGTGGAGTCAAACCCAGGTGAGTTAGACCCCGCCCCCCTGTAGACCTCCCCTCACGGTCTGTTTGTGTTTCAGTCTCGCAGAGTCCAGCCGTCTGTCCCTGAACTCTCGCTGCTGGTTGACGGCAGCTTCTCCAATCACAACGTCTGGCAGGACCCTAACTCCGCCCACAGACCTCCACCACCTGCTCCCGCTGACAGGAAGTCTGGTCCTCCCACTGGAAACGCCTCCTCCACCTCAGCAGCTCCTCCTCCTCCTCACCTTCACAGCACCCCCAACTCCAACCTGCAGCAGCCCTGCACCTGCTGCGCCTCCCACACCTACAACTGCACCTCCATCTACTCCTCCTCCCCTGGACGCCACCCTGCTGCACCTCCTTTACCACATCACAGGAACAGTGCTCCTCCATGCTCCTATCAAAAAACCACTCCTCCTTCTAGCAAACCCCACCCTGCTCCTCCTCCTTCATCCTCCAAACACCACCACACTCCTCCTACTGCTCCTCCCCTCCATCGTCAGACTCCTCCTCCTCCTCCTCATGTGCTTGACTCTGCTGCGTCTCCTACACCTGCTGTTTTTCCACATCACCACCACACACCTCCACCCTCCCATCATCATACCCCTCCTCCTTTAACTAAGCCCCGCCTTTCTTCGCCTCCATCCTCACGTCCTCAAACTTCATCTCCCTCCAACAACCTCCCAGCTACTCCCTCCTCCCCTCAGGGTGCACCTCCTCCCTCCCATCACCATACACCACCTCACTTCTCCAGTAACTCCAGCCCCGCCCACCACAGTCACACCCCCCCTCCTCCGCCTCCCCCAAGTTTGCCAGCTCCTCCCTCTTGTCCCTACAGCCTCCCTTCTGTGAACCTCGCCCCTCTCCCCTGGCTCCCCCCTCCCTCCTGTGTGAATCAGTGCTGTAATCAGGTGGGCGGAGTCACACCACCTGACACCTATCAGCTCCTCCTCCATCAGGACCGGCAGCTCCGCCTCCTGCAGGCTCAGGTGAGAACAGAAGCTCCTTCGTTCTTCGATCAGGAGCTCCTGATTGGTCCTGACTGGTCCGTTGTCACGGTAACGTGGATGTTTGCTGGGTCTCTGCAGGTTCAGATGTTGCTGGAGGCTCAGGGGAAACTTCAGACCTCCGGTCCGCAGTCAGACGCTCAGACTCGCCGCAGCACCGCCAGCATCGCCGTGGGAACAGGTGAGACCAGTGACGGATCCTCCAGGTCAACCGACCGGGTTCTGACTGACCCGGGTTTGAACTTTGTGTTGGTTTGGTTTTTAGGCGCCAGTCTGTTCTGGGGAATTCCTGAGCAGCCCCCCCCTCATGAGGAGGTCCAGACTTCTCCCGCCTCCTCACCTGCACCTCCCCTTGTGTCCACCGCCGTCCAGCATGCTGAGATGTCCATGGTCAGCCATGTTGGCGAGGCTTCAGACGACGGTTACAAAGATCAGGAGGTCGCCGTGAACAGGTCAGAGGTCAAATAATCAGCCGACAGAGATCAGGCGATCCTTCCATCCTCCGATTCTTAAACGTGTTCGTGGTTTTCTGTCCCAGCCTCAGCGGCCTGCAGAGTCCAGTCCTGGGGGAGAGCGCCAGCATGTTCTCACCTGCAGACGACCAGCAGGACTTCTACCAGAACCTGATGGTACCTGAGAGAGAACCCGTCATACTGACAGATTCTGATCGGCGAACAAACCTGATCGATGTTTCCTCTGCTCCTCAGACTCAGCTGACCAGTCGTCTCCAGGAGTCTGACAGCAAAGAGGAGGAGGAGGAGGAGGAGGAGGAGGAGACATCCAGGAGGAGGAGTCTGCCTGCTGCTCCTGACTCCTCCCATTCCTCCTTTTCCTCCTCCTCCAGGAGGAAGCAGCAGGGCCGGGGTGGAGACCCGGTGGTCAGCGCCACCCTGCGGCAGCTGCATCAGCTCGGCGTGGACGTGGATGAAGAAGATTTGACGGAGTCAGAGAGAAGGAAACACCGAACTGTGGAGAGCAGCAGGTAAAAAACACCTTCTGATCGATCACACCCTCTGATCGATCACTTTATAATTGATTATTTGTGAACATCTATGTTGGTCATGGTGCGTCCAACACTGCTGCACCATCAAAAGTTAAAGGGATATTCCGACGTAAAACTAATTTGTCTGTTTTTGTGTGTGTGTGTGCGTGCGTGATCAGCACTCTGGCGGCCATCAACCCAGCTGCGGTTCTGTCCAGACTGAGCGTGTCCGAACCGACGGCGAGCTCTCTGTTTCCTGGAGGCAGCGTGGATTTGAGTCTGGAGGCCAACGCCATCGCCCTGCGCTACCTCAGCGACTCTCAGCTCAGCCGGCTGTCTCTGGGAGGTCACACGCCCCTTCCAGGCCCCGCCTCCTCCTCTTGTGACTCTCTACTGTCGCCTAGCAACATGTCTCTGGCCACCAGGAAGTACATGAGGAGGTACGGTTTGATTGAGGAGGAGGACGGCGAGGATGAGGAGGAGCAGGAGATCGACGTTCGGGAGGAGTCGACCCGTCCGCCGCTGAGTGAAGCCCTGAATGTGAAGCTCCTCCCACAGAGTCAGCTGATCAGAGACCTGAAACCTAAAATGCAGCTGTTAGCGGGCGGCGGCGGCAGAGCGCACAGAGACGACAAGGAGAACTGTGAGAACAGGCGGCCATCTTTAGTGAGGGCGAGCAGCCGTCAGACTGAGGGGTCAGTGGGGAACATCCTGGACCTGAGCCGCCTGAGACAGCTGCCCAAACTCTTCTGACCACAACGAGCGAGCCGGCGACTCATTAATGGAGTCGGAGATAAAAACATGAGGTCTGAGGTTTGGTGCACGTGCTCAGTGCAGCACCTGCTCTGATTCGGGTCTCGTCTGTAAATTTGCCGTTTTAACTCTTGTCGTTTTTCTCATCATAAAGTTTTTGTTTTTGAAACGCCTCTGTGTGAAAGTCTTCCTCTCTCTGTGGTTTTTTATTTTCCTGGAGGTTTTAGCTCGTATGTTTTTGTCATATTTATGATTCAGAAATAAAATTCATAACAAACTAAACTTCTTTTTCTTCCTCTGACATTTCTTTGAAATCATCAGCAGCTGAAACTTCAACCTTTTGAATGAATCCTCAGCATCCTGACTCCCTGGTTTGAGGTTGTGTTATGGTTGTTTGTCCCGCCCCCTGCTGGTCAGCTGTGCGTCCTGCAGCTGTCTCCGTTATTGATCAGTGATTGGTTGAACTCCTCCTAACCGCAGACGTTCCTGGAGCCGCGGGTTGTTGACTAACAGCCGATCGATGTCTCAAAGGTTGCTGTGATGTTGTTTCAGTGCTCTGCAGGACACTGACCTGAGTGCAGCTCGCTCTGAGGATCGGACCGTCTGAATCTGCTCGACTTCACCTGCTCAGGTAAGAATTCCCTCCTGATTCAGGATGAGTCTGTCTGACTTCTCTCTTATATTTATTTTGAACCTGTGATTCATTCTCTCTGCTCGTCTGTGTCAGTTTTAGTTTTTTTCCACTCATCTGTTTTGTGGTTTTAGATCTTTAAAAAAACAGAATAAATTTCAGTATCGGCTTGAAAAGGAACTCAAAACCTGTTCAAAAACTTTGACGTTTTAATGAGTCGATTTTTATATTTTCATTTGCTAAAAGTCATTTATTCATGTCAGCAGTTTTGTGAGTTTTAACGACAGTGAGGTGAAATCGTGAGACTCGGGTGAAGACTAAAGTTCGAAACGTTTGAAATCTTTCTCTAAACTCTGACTTAAAGGTTTTCTGGATGAACTTTGGTGTGGGGACAAAATTCAAGTTTGGAGAAAGTTTCCCTCAGAGGGTCAAAGTGAGGGCTGTGTAGGTGTTTGTGTGGGTGAGTCAAAGGTTCGAGTCCACTCCGTGTAAAGAGACAAACTCAACATTTCTGAGTAGACTTACAAAACGACAAGATTAGATTTTAATCTTGAGGATTTTAAGTTTAACTCACAGATCTGTTTTAGGACCCTGAATATCCCGGCATGTGTCTGCTGTCGTCTCAGTCTGTGTCGATAAAAAAGTGTTTATCCGGGTATTAAAGTCAGAACGCAGAAATTTTCACGATCTGATCTCAAAACTTTGCTGCAGAAAATTAAGAGAAAAATAAACGATGACTCGTTTTGTTTCTGTGGGTTTGTTAAAGCGATGGGGAATAAAACACCCGTGTGTTCATGCTCGTTCATTACAATCTGTGAGTTTAAGTTTTTCAAACGTGATGCCAAAAATGAGATTTTGTCAGATTATTAGTTTCCATGGTAACAAAAAACTCACGTATCTTGATTGGTTTACGCTGCGTTTAAGCGACTTCGAAATGACGTCACACCCGAGTTCCCAGCGTTTCAGTTACCGAGTTGGAAAAAAAGCAAAATCGGAGGCGGAAATAAGGTAGCGACATCTACGAAAGTTATTTTAGCGCTAGCCTTGTCTGAATATAAGGCAAACGCTAAAATAACTTTCCGCCTCCGATTTCGCTTTTTTTCCCGACATGGTAACTGAAATGCTGGGAACTCGGGTGTGACGTCATTTTCAGCTCCGACTTCTGACTTCCGAAGTTAGAGTTACTGATCTACACTCACCGGCCACTTTATTAGGTACACCATGCTAGTAACGGGTTGGACCCCCTTTTGCCTTCAGAACTGCCTCAATTCTTCGTGGCATAGATTCAACAAGGTGCTGGAAGCATTCCTCAGAGAGCTTGGTCCATATTGACATGATGGCATCACACAGTTGCCGCAGATTTGTCGGCTGCACATCCATGATGCGAATCTCCCGTTCCACCACATCCCAAAGATGCTCTATTGGATTGAGATCTGGTGACTGTGGAGGCCGTTTGAGTACAGTGAACTCATTGTCATGTTCAAGAAACCAGTCTGAGATGATTCCAGCTTTATGACATGGCGCATTATCCTGCTGAAAGTAGCCATCAGAAGTTGGGTACATTGTGGTCATAAAGGGATGGACATGGTCAGCAACAATACTCAGGTAGGCTGTGGCGTTGCAACGATGCCCCATTGGTACCAAGGGGCCCAAAGAGTGCCAAGAAAATATTCCCCACACCATGACACCACCACCACCAGCCTGAACCGTTGATACAAGGCAGGATGGATCCATGCTTTCATGTTGTTGACGCCAAATTCTGACCCTACCATCCGAATGTCGCAGCAGAAATCGAGACTCATCAGACCAGGCAACGTTTTTCCAATCTTCTATTGTCCAATTTCGATGAGCTTGTGCAAATTGTAGCCTCAGTTTCCTGTTCTTAGCTGAAAGGAGTGGCACCCGGCGTGGTCTTCTGCTGCTGTAGCCCATCTGCCTCAAAGTTCGACGTACTGTGCGTTCAGAGATGCTCTTCTGCCTACCTTGGTTGTAACGGGTGGTTATTTGAGTCACTGTTGCCTTTCTATCAGCTCGAACCAGTCTGGCCATTCTCCTCTGACCTCTGGCATCAACAAGGCATTTCCGCCCACAGAACTGCCGCTCACTGGATATTTTTTCTTTTTCGGACCATTCTCTGTAAACCCTAGAGATGGTTGTGCGTGAAAATCCCAGTAGATCAGCAGTTTCTGAAATACTCAGACCAGCCCTTCTGGCACCAACAACCATGCCACGTTCAAAGTCACTCAAATCACCTTTCTTCCCCATACTGATGCTCGGTTTGAACTGCAGGAGATTGTCTTGACCATGTCTACATGCCTAAATGCACTAAGTTGCCGCCATGTGATTGGCTGATTAGAAATTAAGTGTTAACGAGCAGTTGGACAGGTGTATGTAATAAAGTGGCCGGTGAGTGTATGTTGATAATATCTGTGGGTTTGAAGGTCGATCTCTCTCCGTTATTAAACTCTGGTGCTCTCGTTTAGATCCAGTAAACTTTAATTTCTTTAAAACTGAGCTGTACTCGAGGGTCTGAAGCTACGACATATTATCCTTTCACTTCTAAATTCCCTGAAAGTATGAAAAGGTAAACATATATGTATGACCACAGAGAACTTTCACTGTTCACCAATTTTAATAAAAAAAAAACATACATATAAATCTTCCTGTTTCCCCTGAAACCCCCCCAACAACACTAAATCATCAGTTTGACCCCTAAAGTCGTCAAAAACTAAAGAATGAGTCCCAACTTCAACAGTCCCTCCCCCCGTTCAGTGTCCGATTTCCCTTTGGAGAAGAAGAAAGCAAAAATTCTGAAGGTATGGTTCTGATCCAGTCACCCTAGACCAACAAAAACTTGTCCTCCACAGTCCCAAAAACAGAATCATCCATTAAAAATGGAAATGTCAGCGATGCACTGGGAAAATAAAGGATCCAAAAGTGGGAGACTCACCAGTCCAGCTCTGATTGTTCCTGGTCCAGTATCAGGGACGGTTGAGGATCACCTGCAGTTCTCGAAGCCTCCTGGGTTTCCTCACTTGGAGGTTTGGCCTCCCAAGAACCGTCCAAATCTCTCCTCAAACATTTCCTCCTGCTCCTC